TTAATTTTTTTATTCAAATAATTCCATGGGTAGCCTTAGAATGCTCAGTAAGGGTGGTTCTATTAGGCGTTCTCTGGGGTAAAGAGTTAAACTCCAAGTTAGCCTGAATTTCATTGCTAGAATTAGAGGAGCTAATCTCCCACTTAAACTCCTCCACCTGATAAATTAGACATTATCCCCACCATATTTCTAAAAGAGGTTTTCCAGACTGTTTCCCCACAGATTCTCATGTGTTCTCTCTGTTATTAACTGCTTATTGTCTACTGACTCTGTCCCATCCAGTTTTAGAAATAAAATAGTCCAGCCACTCCTAAAGAAACCTACACTTGACCCTCTTATTTTTAACAATTTTAGACCAATTTCAAAATGACTTGTTTCATCTCAAATTTCAGGAAAGTCTGTTGCCACTCCATTAATCTCACACATGGATAACAATAATATCTTTGCGCAATTTCAATCAGGATTCCGTACCTAGCACAGCACAGAAACAGCTCTTATTAGGGTTACTTATGATTTACTTCTCGGTGATGATTCCAGGGCTTGCTCAATTTTTATTCCGCTCGATCTGACTTCAGCATTTGATACAACAGACCTCCTTATAAACCACCATGAAAACTCTGTTGGAATTAAGGACAGTGCTCTTGCCTGGTTTTGCTCACATCCCTCTGAAAGCTCTTTCTCTGTTGTAATGGGAGAATATTCTTCATCCACAGCCCCCCTCTTGTGTGGTGTTCCCCATGGGTTAATTCTTGGTCCTCTTTTGTTTTCTATTTATATGCTTCCTTTGGGTCAGATAATCCCTAGGTATAATATTAATTGACAAAGTTATGCAGGTGATCAGCATCTTCATTTTCCACTGATTTGTAGTGGCATTGGCAATTTTACTCTTATGTTATGGCTTGTCTCTGATATTAAGTGCTGGATATCAAAAACCTTTCTCCTGCTCAATGAGTCCAAATCTTTTCTTTCCTTTTCTTTGGCCCCCCACAACCTGACCTGTGACTTAAAAAAGAACCTTGGGAACCTGTCCTCCAATGTTAAATATTCTGCCAATTTGGGTGTCAACCAAGGTTGTGTAATCATGCTTTCTTCATATTAGAAACATTGCAAAAGGTGTCTCAAGCAGACCTTGGAAAAAGTCATCCATGCTTTCATCTCGTCACACCTGGATTGCTGTATTCAGGGATCAACCAAAATGCCATTTGCCATCTCCAACTTGTTCAAACTGACAGACTTTTAATACATTCCAACAGACAAGACCACAGCACTCCCATCCTTGCAAGGCTACACTGGTTACCTCTTAAGTATAAAATTGAGTTTAAGCTTTTACTAATTACCTTTAAAGCCCTGCATGGCCTTGCTCCTACCTACATTATAGATTTAGGACCCGCATAAATGTTCCTACAGCCCATCTCATTATAAAAGGAAACCGGACATTTTCCGTTAGAGCCCCGCAGCTGCTGAACTCCTAACCTGAGGAACTTAGATTAGCAAACCCAGTATCTTCCTTGAAAACACTCCTCAAAACATACTTTTACAGCAAGGCTTTGTTTTTACAGTAAATCTGTTGTCTGTCTAGTTTCTATCCCTCTTTTATCATAAATAATAATAATAATTATTATTATTATTATTATTACATACTCTGTTTTATCTGGTCTTAGCCTATGTTAAATGTTTTTTTATTTGATTTATTTATGTTACCGCTGTTTTTATCTTGATGGTGTATACTACTTTATCTTGTCCTATAAGCACTCTGTAACTGTGTTTTGAAAAGTGCTATGCAAATAAAGTTTATTGTTTTTATCTGCAGTTTGAAACTCAGGCTTCCTGTTACAAAGTTGTAGTCTCCAAGCTGAGATAACATAACAAACTAAACACGACAATGAATCACTTTATGATTTTAAATTAAGATACTTAAATTTAAAGTGATAAATTCTGAAATGGACCTGAAGGTGGTAGCATGCTCATTTAAGCTGCCATTCTGTTATATGGTCAGTTGATTTTACTAGAGTTTTTACAACTTGTATTATCTTGATGTACCTGTTGAAGCAGCTGATTAAGACTTTCCTGGCAGAGCTTCAACATTACTGTTCTCAGATCAGAGCAGCCGCACATTAACAGGAGCAGCAACTACAAAGAGTCTTATCAGTGCGGTCACAAAGGACATCGCTAGTTTCAACACCTTGTTTGAAGCAATACACGCATGCACGCATTCACCTGACTCAACTAAGTCAATTCTGACACTCATGAATAGCCTCCCTTTGTCTTACTTGCCATTGTCACCGTTTGAGATACCAGAGAGGAACTAGCACAAACACATAACCTCACCCAAACCAGGAGCTCGCCCACACCCCCACACTTCCTCCCTCTGCCAGATTCTTCCTGGTTTGCCTTCCCTTTAAAGCCATGCTGACACTGCATGTAGTTTCGTCTCTGCAGCCGGCCTCCCCCCTGCTGCAGAGAAAACTCTACTGAAACTACAACAATGATGAGACAGCAAAAAGACTGGCTGGGAGACACATTGCTCTGCATAAACTGCCTTCATTTTAGCACAGCAAAGGTTGGCAGGTGACACTGAATCTTCCTGTGTACACTCTCTGAGCCCACGCTCAGTCCCTCTGCGACACAGCCTGTAAACTAGAGCTGTCTCAGGTGGGTCTGGCAAGGAGTGGTGTTACCAACATGTTCTTGTTTTTATCTTAGCTAACAGCAGGGCCTGAGGATGGTGATGCAAGTCAGGTAACCATTTAATTTGGTGTGGATCCCCTAAGGAGGGTGATAATTTCCCCTTGACCAACTCTTCGGTCCATGACAAAATATCTCAATGCTACATTCCCTAAAAATCAGCTGTGGATATTTTGGGGTCCTTAGAGGATGAATTCTACCGTACTGGGTGATCTCTGACCTTTTCTCTAGTGCAATCATTACACCAAGATTTTCACTTGTACACAACAAATCTAAAAATCTATCAGATAGATTGCAATTTAAGTTACTGAGCCTATTCATGCTCCCCAGAGGACAGACAATTTCAATTTGATCACTCCATGAGCTTTCCTTTTATGCCACCCTCAGGACAAAATGTCATCTTTGTACACAAGGTATGATTTACTAATGAGATTTACCAGAACCTCTGAACTCCCCAGGGGGTAAACCCTTTCCTCTGGCACCACTCTATCACAAAAGCATGTGTGTTTTTCTCCACTCAACACCTTAAGTTCTGAATAATTAAGTCATTAGGATTCATTCTCAGGGGATGCTGAATATCTTCATATCAACCCAGCTAAAAAGGTTGTCTAAAATATCAACATTATAGTGGCACAAGAGGAACAGTCAGTGGGATTCATCCTCTGGGGACTATGATTGTCTTCACAAAATTCTGACCCAATCCATCCACTAGTTAAGTGGAAAATTTGACCTGATGGTGGCACTAGAGGAAAAAACAAGGGTTCATTGAAAATCTGTAGGATTCTCTGAGGACAATGAATGTCTGTACCAACTTCATCATCCATCCATCCAATATTTGTCAAGCAATTTCAGTATGGACAAAAGTGGTGGATGGACCAACCAACACTGCCATTGCACAAGCCATGTTGCTAACATGACATAAATATTCTTTTTAATAACTATTTTATGATGCAGACTGAATAAATTTTTGGTTGTGGCCACATTTGTCAGCAGACATTATGCTTTAAAAGTCTTGGAGGCAAATCAAATTAGATGTAAGAATTTAGGACTTGGTGGAACAATGCCATGCATGCAGTATCTTCTTGCAATGATGGAAGTGCGCACACCCAAATTAATCTATTTCTACTTCCTGTTTTAGATCAATATTCAAAGGTAGCCCTCCTCTTCAAGCCTCACTAGACGAGCAGTCTGCATCAGCTCCTCCTACATTCAGAGGGGTTTTCTGCAGAGTTACAACTTCACCTCTAAATAAGGAAAACAAGCTCAGACAGAAAAATAGATGTCTGATAACGTGTGTGTCATCTTTGAACAGGAACCAATGGCAGACGCACCAGCTGAACTGTTGTAAAGCATGGTGATAAATGAGCTATTTCAACACAGGAATGTGAGCTCTGAAATATCGGGAAGGAAAATAACGGAGTACAGCCCTGAGGCAGCAAGCTTTAAAGACAACTAGAGCAAGCATCAGAAACAGCCACACCCAAAGCCAACATCTGAGCAGATGCTTTACTCTAGAAGACACAAGAATCACACAGAATGTGAGATAACTCCACATCCAGCCAGCACCTATTAGTTATTTTTGCTCAGTGGGAGTCATTATCTGAAAATCCCTACTTGACTTTTTGCGATTTCTCCTCTTTTCTTTTTCTGTGACATACAAAAATGAGCTCCATGCAGACAGAGATACTACTAATCACTGTGCTGTGCTGTGAATACACAGCAGATCTGATCCTTCATTAAAAAGGACACACAAGCACACACACACAATCAGACAAGAGGGAAAACATGTTTTTAACAATGCATTTCGATTATTCGGCTGCATGCAGATGGTTTTTAGATTCATTTTTCAAAGGCAAGTGACAGGTTAAAAACTTCACTTGCATGACTGACAACTACTTGAGGAACAATGACTTACTACAAGTATGCTTTCACATCCTCAAAGTGCCCTACTTAACAAAAGGCTTGCCTTAAATGGTTCACCTTGTAAAAACCAGGTACAGGAAATTGTTGAAGAGATTATGCAATGCATACAGTGCTAAGTGCTTTGACAGTGTAGTTAGGCTACAGGGCTCAAGGCCAATGGGTGACAGAGCACAGAGTCTTAAAAGATTAGTGTCCTGCCAAGTCAAGCTGTGTGGCATAGGCTATAGGCTGTGTAACCCGTCCAGAAACGGAGTGCGCATTGGCCACACACTCACAAAGAAACACACCACAAAATCTAGACTAGCCAGCAGCAGGGAGATATGTTTCATCCATACTGGCAAGGCTTGGTTAACAACTAGGGTGGAATATTAGAAATGAAATCTACTCCTTACCTGTGCACATGCTCTTGAAGTCCTCATAGTCAGTCCCTTGTCCTGCAGGCAGGATCATAGAGCCGTCATATTTAAAAGCAGCCCTGCAAGATGCAGAATACACTGTGCATTAGGCGATTACTCCATGTACCATGTATCTCCCAGTTTCATAATCTGTTGATTCACAACATGGCATTGTGTGCACATCAGACCCATTTTGCAAACTGAAGCAACACACAAAATACCCAAGACACCCATACAAAGTGGCAGCTGTGTGCCAGCCATGTGTAAATCTACTATAACGTTATCCTCTGAATACAGGACAAAGGAAATTACTTCTGCCCCGCTGGGCCTGATAACTGTGCAGTGTGTGGCCGCTAAATAGCCAGAATACAGATCAGCTAGATCAGATCAGCGAGGACAGGACACTGAATGTTGCATGTATTACAGCAATTATTCTTATAAGCACAAACCCTGGAATAAGGGATTAACGTTTCAATTGTGAAACAATTCACGAGGGTTTCGGTTGCGGCCAGTCCCCCAATGTGCCATTCTAGCGCGTAAGCAGGACGAACTACTTAAAAATATCGCCCAATTTAAAGTTACCTTGGTTAAATAAAAAATTTAATGCAACATAATATACAGTTCATTACATTTTTTATGTCTTCATGGATTTATCTTCCATTCGGCTTGTGTCAGGTCACCCAAAGTGTTCTTATTTAGATAAAATGTAAAGTTTTATAAAAGGTCCGCCTCTGATTTTGGCACCCTCTGCCACTGAAAAGACGGCGCAGTGGGCGGTAACAGGCTATGTGAATTAAATCCTTAACTGAGATTAGATCGAAAAACGTATTGATTGATGTAACGTTATTATATGGTTACTGGAATAAATAGCGGCTTATAGGTTTTTATTATTCAGATGATGTGTGGCTAACGTAATGAATGAAACATCCACTTTTGAAAACGTGCAGGAAATATAAATTCGTCACAAAATTTACTGGAGTATGGATAAGTAACCATGTCCGCAAACTCACCAGTTGGTGTCCGTGTTATCGTCTCTGACTTGGTTGTAAGCCTCTCTGCAAGCCTCTTTATCGATTTGGGTTGCCATTTTTCGTATAACGTTAGACAGCAGCCAAAAAAGGACAAAGTCAACGTTGTATCGGTCCAAATCAGAGAGAGCTAGCTACACAGTAATAAAGCAGCTAACTTGTACAGTTGACGTTATGCATCAGACAACTATAACTGATAACGTTATACAATAGGCTTCACTCCAAATCACTACAACTGCAGTGAAACAATCGTGCCGGTCGGATGTAGCGGAAAAAGACGGCTCTTCTTCTAGCAGCTAGGTCTATTTCCTGTATATTGCCACTTTATGGGCGTTGGTGATGCTAGTCGATCAGGTTGCCAGCACCAGCAGACAGACAGAGGAGTCCCCCAGACGCTGGATTCACCTTCTCCCTGTGAATGGTCAATGGTATGAGGGCCGCTGTCAAGGCAGCCACAACCTACAACCACCTTTTCCGGTGAGGACTTTCAAAATAAAGTTTAAAAAAAGTGGTAAAGCCTGGTTGCAGCCAGAACGCAGTTATAATATTCACAGAAAGTATATAAATAGCAGTGATAAATTTGGCAGTCAGACATGTATATCATGACTTTTGTAATATTAAAATGAGCATACAGTCTGAGAATCACCACCAAACAACTTGGTCTGAACACGTAGCACCAAATCCAGGGCCCTGTCCATAAGCAGTCTCTTTAGGCCCCCTGCCTTTCCTCTCATGATTCATGTTTCTCTCATGCATCTTTTGATTATTTTTATCTAAGTTTCGTCAATCCCTTTCCTTTCTTTCTTTTTCTCTTTTGGAGAACCAATTGCCATTTCTTCGGGGTATTCCCGCAGCATAAGCAGTCATTAGCCCCTTTTACACTGCCTCTTCAAGGCAGGAACATCATGCCATTATGCTGCCTCTTCTGTATAAAAGGTATCACAGAATGGGGGGGGACATAGTTGTCGGCCTTTAAGCCAGGAGCAGAGGTAGTAACGGGGATAGGTAGAGGGGTATCAGGGATAGCACAGACGTGATGTTTGCAGTTAGCTGCTAACTCACAGAACAAGAACAGTCACCAAACATGTCCGCAAACTGAGGAAACATTGAGGTCCGGGAGCTTCTTACCCTCCAGGCAGAGGACGAGATCAGCCGCCATATGACAGAGACAGTAAATGATTGTTATTGCCATGAGTGTCCACAATATTTTTAATACAAAGTTCCGCCTTTTAACCAATTTATTTCGCCAACTAATTACTTAAAGTAAAAAACAAACTTTACATCACAGGCTTTTCAAGGTCCACCCTTTCACAGGGGACCTGGGTAAACAGGTCCACTTTTCTCCCCACTAAGATGCCCCTGGGTGCGGACACCAGTAGTAACAGTACTTTCAATTTCATATTAAAATTATTTTTTCAATGTCAGTTTTCTCATTTATTTGACAACCTATTTATTAGCTTTTAATTATTTCTAATTTTGCTAAATTCTCTATATATTTTTGAGTCTCTCAGGGAAAGGAAAACAGCTGTGGAAAAATTATCTTATTTGTTTTTTCATTATGTCATGATCCAGTTTTCACATGAATATAGCATCCTACTTCCTACAGGACACTGGCCCTACAAACAGACAAATGTACTCTATTTAGGCGGCATGAAATTCGATCTTCCTTTTGTTAATGGTTTGGTGTATCCACAACCCTTACAGATAAGAGGCAGGAAAGTTCGTTTTGACAGGGTGTTGAGAAGTCAGGTCTGCTGTCAAGAAACAAGGAAAGGGAAAGGAGAGAATTAACAAGAGATATCTCCGAAGGTAATCATTAATCAAATAACTGCCACCAAGGACAAAGGAGTAATGTCATAAAATGCAGTTAATGAATACATGTGTGACATCCTGAGAGGAAGTGTATATTGTTAGAAGTACAATTGTTTTGTTTTTGTAAGCCAGAAAATGCAAAATGCTTGTTTTGTTTAGGGGTTGGGTTTTTTTCCCCCTTCCATCAACCATACGATTTACTGTTTTATTCTGAAGGCCAAATAATCAACTTCCGGTTTTACTTGAACTGATTTGTGGAACTTGCCCGGTGCAGAGGTATTACAATCCACTAATTTTGTTTAGTTTCATTTTAATTCACAACATTTGTCCCCGAGGACCAATTCATGTTAAATACAAGCAGCCACATGCAGAACAAAACTGCACAGTCTTGAGCTACATTAAATGTTGCTATGCATTGCAACATTCTTGAAGGTAAGCCTTCAACACAAGACTAGTGTGGCTATGATACACTTAAATAGAATACAAACTATATGCAACTACACAATAAAGTGTATCTGGCAGCCAAGGGCGGGGTTGCATGTGTAGGCTACATGAAGCACTGTGTGAAGTTCAGTGATGAAGCACTGGGCTGTGGTGGTCAGTACAGCAGGCAGGCAGCACAGAAGCCACAGGTCTCGCTCCTCCTCCTGGGACTCCTCCAGCTCTCACCAGCTCTCTGATGACTTACATTGATGAGGCCCATTACGACCACCACCTGGTCTGAGCTCTGTCCCTCTGGGTCGTCTGTTACTGCGTCACCACGCCACCTGCTGGTCCAACAACAACCCATCACCCATCCCTTATTATTATTGCGTTGATGTAAAATGCACAGTCTGGTGTACATAGTCAAGCCAGAAGAAGAAGAAGAAGAAGAAGAAGAAGAAGAAGAAGAAGAAATGTGTGGGAGTTCAGTTTGCTATTCTTATTCCACATACAAAGCAGTAATAGAACCAACCGTTTTTATTTGTTCATATAGGGGGGATGTGCCAAATTTCTGCTCAGCATAGGCTACATTATTTTGAGGTAATTTAGGGAATATTTAAAATAGTTGAAAAGAATTTAAGTTGTAGTTTTCTGGGTGTGTTTTATCCCAGTCTTTGAATTGTGAGATTGAGCCCCACTTCATCTCCTCAATCATGATGGGAGTATTCTGCAAGTTACTGTGTATACTCTAGACAGATTTTAACGAATATTAGGTCGTTTGAGTTGTTGTTTTGTTTTTCAAAATTTGGTTTTAGAACAGAAAAAAAGCTCCCCTAGCTTTAAGATTCTCTGTGGTTCTCTCTTTCATTTTGTCTGTGTGTATTTTGTTTTTCTTACCTGTAGAAATGTGCAAACTAAATCAACCCTTTGCTCCAGGCACCTTGAAAGGGGAATGCTACCTAAGTTAAAAATTCCAATATGTTATCCCCATGGCCTAGGAAAGTTTAATCAATATTTGTGAATATGAGCTAATTTCTCTCAAAGCCAGAAACCAGAGAAGTAAGTCTCAAACTTGTGATGATCATTGGATCATCACAAGCTCTATGGACAATGAATGGGAGACTGATTTTGTGAACCCACAGAATGCTTGCTTTCTTTTTATGCCCAAATGAGCTTTATTCTATTGTAATATTCTCAGCTCTGAAACAGGAAATGTAACAATATATACTGAGAACAATCCCCTGGGTGCTCTCTGTGTCATCTAGATTATCTTTCACCATTCATTTTCTATGGAGCAGACTACTGGAGCACATTGTGACCCTAATTCTTTTGATTTGGATGAAAGTTATTCATGCTTACTAATATTTTTGGACTGTTTCAGACCATAGGACATGTGCAAACATGTAACGTCAATTAATTTTCAAAATTACCGTAGTTTCCCTTTAATGAGCCATGCAAATGCTTGAAATATTTCAAAATAAGCATAAGGATATTGCAATGCAAGGCATGAAAAATTATAGAATTTTTCCTCGTAAAGGCTTTTGTGATTTATTTTTCTCTAATGTGTGTAGTTATTCTGCTTGCATTCACATTCTTTTGACAGAACTGCAACCCTGCTTTCAAGTTCATAATGATCTATTTACCAGTATTGATCATGGAAATGTTAAATGTCTTTAAAACGTTCGCTGACATTGCAGGTCTTGAATGTACTCGCATTTAACTGGTTGTGATTGGTCCATTGTGTGCATCTTATTTCCTGGAGTCAGCACCGTTCTAACTAGCTGTCAATCACAACACCGGGCTGAAAGGTTTTGGCTTCAAAATAAGATGTTATACTGGGAGGAGGATGACATTTACAAGTGAAAATTTAATTACCAGTTACATTTTGAGAGACCACTGGGGCCTGACAGTAGTATCCTGTCGTCACATTCATCTCAAACACCCTGTGACTCGCTGTTACTGCGTCAAACAATGTTTTGTAACAGTTCTTCAATTTAAGACAAAAAAAATCTCTTGAACCCCTTTACGAAGCTGTCAGGTTTTGGAGTTATTATATTTTACCGTATCCATTTTTATTTTTTCTCATCATCATTCCCTGAATATTTTGGTGTGCTTTAGTTTTTGTGTGTTGTTTTGTTTTTGTTATAAGACAAATTAGTTTATTTTGAAAACCTATACCGGAAAAGCATTTGTTTATACAGGCTAGCCGACGCTACCCACAGTATTTCCTCTCTCTGTGGTCTAAGAAATGTAAGAACAAATGTATTTACAGGAATGTGTCTCTGTAAGAAGACACTCTGTCACCAGAGACCGTTTCGGGAAGCTCTCCACTTTTTGTCGTTGTTGAAAAGCGTCGCATGTTGATCGTTTCCTTCAAAAATACAGCTTCCTCTCCTTCCTGTGCTAAACTGCGGTGACAAGAGATGCTACTGACTGTAACAGTGTCCTCTGATATATTCTTCTCCACGACACGTCCAAATGTAAGCACTACTCATGTAATAACAATGGGAGATTTGGGAGAAACATAGTCTCTTGTTACTGACTGTTTGACGGTGTAGTTACCAGCTAACAATATGTACTAATTTAGGATACACAACGTTAGCTTTTCTTGTTTAGCCTACACTTCTGTACAGCAATTAGACACAAATTACACTCAACACTTTTGTTTTTGCTCCTCCTCCCTTTTTTCATGCACTCGATATAATTCTCTGAAATTTTGGTCTTAAAATTTATAGAAATTGGCGAGCACTTCTCCTTTTCCAAGATAACCCATCCACCTGACAGGTCTGGCATATAAAGATGCTGATTAAGCAGCATCATTACACAGGTGTGCCTTGGGAAGATCACAATAAAAGGTCACTCTAAAATGTGCAGACACTGACTGTGTGGTAATGATGCTGTATAATTAGCATCTTGATATGTCACACCTGTCAGGTGGATGGATTGTCTGAGTTGACAGTTGATCACTGACACAGATTTTAACAAATCTGCAACCGAAATTTGACAGAAATACATCTGTTAAGTGCATAAAAAAAAGTCTGAGATCTTTAACTTAAACCTGAGAAAATGGGAGAAAAAAACAAAAGTTTTGTTCAGGATAGTGGAAGTTCTTACTCAGTATTATATGTGTGTGTATGTCCCTTAGGTGATGCCTGCCTGAGGGGACATAATGGACAATGGCAAACCGAGCCGTGTGAGTCGGCCCCAGCGGATCAGTGAATCGTCCAAGGTGAGTGTGTATGTGTGTCAGTGAGAGGGATGATCACAGAGCTCAGTTGCTTCTCTTATTCTCTCTATATGTTACTTTTCAAAACTGATACTCATTGTTATTAAGACACCAGAATCTCAGCAAACAGATGTCTTTGTGAATAAGGCCTCAACATTTGAGAACAATTACAATATTTAAGACATATTTTCATGTAATTTGTAGTGAGCAGCACATACACTTAAATGTGCTCTGTGGGGTTTTCTTGTAATAAAAAAGTTATGTTTACATTCAGTGTTTCTCACCAATATTCAATCAGCCTCTTTACACTTGGTTTTAAAGCGTGATCTGAACGGACAGTCAAGACACATTGCCATAAACACCTGTATCTATCGTGTATCTTCAGCTGATCAGTTATAATCAGATTTTGTTAGTGCCTGCGTCACTTCCGCTAGCATGTCAAAGGGCCCTTCGCACAGTTAGTACATCCACACTCTTGCCAGTCACATCAGCAGTTTGTCTCACTTCAGCTGTAAGCTATTGCTGTCAGCAGATTACAACATGTCTCCTTCTGTAGGGCAAACTGATGGATGGTCATGCAACACATTCTCCAACTTTTTGTAAAATAGGAAATTATATATCATTGGAGCCATAGAAATACATTTTATAATTTCTTTTTTGTAATGATATTTTTATGGTTTGAGCACTGTCACCAAAATGACCACCACGTCATGCATTGATCCTGTTAGTCCTTGTCAGGAACGCATTAGCGTGTACTACACTACACTACAATAGATAGGCTATATTTCAAGTGGCTTAAGTGATCAGATAACACTGCTTCTTGTGTTTATTTGAACTACACTTGTATTTAGCGCTGTCAACTTGTGAGCCGACTGGCCAAGACACATTTTAAAACCAAATGTAAACAGGGCCGTTGTGTGTGTCCTCAAGGGCTTAAAATTGTATTGATGTCAATGTACAGTCAACACAGGGACTCACCTGTCCAAACATTGCTCCATAAACCCAATAATGCTCAGAAACTCCATGAAGTACCTTTAATGCTCCTGCGTGTAGAATTCTATTATATATGTGAGTCAAAGACCCGGACCACCTGCAAGGCTGTCATTGTTATACATATTCAGAAAATACAGGTTATCCCCAAACAGCCAGGGACTGTCAATACCCAAACCAGCATAACACACGCAATCACTCTAAAAACCAGTTTCAACACAGACAGAGCAGAAAAGTGAGCACACTAATTCATTTGTTTTATTCTCATCCCATCAGCAAACACAAACCGAGGGCTCAGATCAGTGTGCAAAGTCCTTTTGCAGTCAGTCCATCATGCAAATGTGACTAATAAATGTGCTACAAGATGGCCTGAGCTAGCCAGCCACCTGGAGATACGACAGTCTGATAAACTGCAGCAAGGACATGTAAAATTCTAGTGCACCTAATTTCCTCTCTATACTCTTAGACATTTGATACAAATGTGGAAAATGTGTAACATGTATCATGGAATTTTCATCTTCAAACATCTTTGCTCTTGAACTGTGTCTACAGAGGGTGGATCCTCAAAAGATCCTGTGTAGAACATCACACTGTTTCCCCAGTGGTTAAAACAGATTAGATATTTAAAGGAGACCACAGCTGCAGAAGAAATACATAGGTTTTAGTTGATGATTATGATATATAAATAACTGCTGTATTTGCTGTGTTGAAGGTTTACTCATAGAACCTATCATAAGAAAGCTTTCTGCAATTCAATTGATGTAGACCATTTCAAGATACAACCACTGCAGCGGGTTCAATAAATGCTTCAGTCACACAAAGAACAAACAATCAAACAGTTATAACTCACCTATGAAGCGTAAGGGTTATTATAATCCACAGATTGATATTATGCCAGCAAAACACTGCTTACACAGTCCTCATACATTACACTCCCAAAGGTCCAGCCAAATATTAAGTCCAAACACATCATTACATCCATAGATATCCATGAACTGTCATTGCATTGTTTCAAATGTCCTTATTTCTCCACATACTGTCTATAATATGTCCAGTTTGCATGTTAATATCTCTAAACTGAACCTTCAGCTCTAAGCAGACACATGCACCCTAATTTTGAGCATAAAAAGCAGTTTTTCTTACATTGTGTATTGTTAGAAACAAATCCCACCCTTGGGGGAGGGTTAAAATTGCACTCCCAAGACCTTTAACAAACTTACCTTTAACCAACTGTGCTGTGTTGTGTCGGCAGGTATTCCACTGCGTGGATCAATCCGTGGAGGTGTTGCAGGGCCTCAATGAGCAGCGGCAGCACAGCCAGTTCTGTGACGTGGTGCTGGTGGCTGACAACCAGCGGGTCCCTGCTCACCGAGCCCTGCTGGCTGTCTCCAGCCCATACTTTCACGCTATGTTCACCTTGGGCATGAGGGAGGAACGCCAGGAGGAGGTACATAGGAGGGTGCAAAGAAATGTTTCTACACAGGGAGAAATGAAAAATGGGACCTCTGTGTCCTGTGTTTCCTTATTATTGTTCTCACAAATGCATTCATCTTGCTTTCTTTCTCAATTTACATGTCGATGATTAATAGTAAAGTCATTAGGATATGTCATGTTGTGATAACTGTGTAATTGGATAGAGTGCACAATACAAATGTCTACAGACATTATTGTATGTCCGACTCCTGATTAACCTTCGTTGTCCTCTTCCTGTCTGTAGGTGGAGCTGGTTGGGATGTCCTACATTGGTCTGAATGCTGTAGTGGACTTCCTGTACAGCGGTGAGCTACCATTGGATGGAGGAAATATTGACTATGTGCTGGAAGCTGCCCACCTTCTGCAGGTAGGAAACTGGGTACTTTCTGTTGAACACATGATGTTAAATAGAAGAATTAGAGTGAATCGTATTAGCATTACCTTTGAATTGTTATGAAATGAAAGAACCAGTATAGTTCATTATGATGGCCTATCAAATGTAAAAACCTGCTGGTTCAGTTACAGTAAAAGTTAAATATTATTTATTCAAATATTTGTCAGTGTTGTACCTGTTCCACTTTCCAACTCTGCTGTTGTTCAGGTGTGGCGAGTGGTGGATTTCTGCTGTCAGTACTTGGAAAGGGAGGTGAGTGAGGACAACTACCTGTATCTGCAGGAGCTGGCTCTGCTCTACAGTCTGGAGCGACTCGACACCTTCATCGACCACTTCATCCTCACACGCTTCGCTACGCTATCTTTCACCCCCGATTTCCTTCATGATATTCCTTTACACAAACTCACATCCTACCTCTCCAGTGGCCAGGTACAGTCTGTAGGATGTTTTTATGTCCACATTGAAAGTTTATTCTTGAACTCAGAAATAGTAGTTGACAAAACAATGGGACCATGTTTAGGAGAGAGGGGTTAGATGTTAGGTAAGATCATAAGAAGCCATCATCATTAATATCTGAGCTCCACTCTTCATCATCAGGTTCAGCATGACAGTGAGCAGGCACTTCTCCAGGCCACCCTGCAGTGGCTCAGCCAGACTCCTGAGCGCACCGCTCATGCCAGACAGCTCCTCTCCCACATCCGCTTCCCTCTGATGCCAGTGGGGGACCTCGTAGACCGAGTGCTGCCAGCTCTGCGAGCCCTGCTGCCAGAGGAGGCAGGCTGCAAGGCCCTCGTGGAGGAAGCTCTGGAGTACCATGCCAGGCCCAGCGCCCAGCCGCTCCTGCAAACTGGTCGCACCACTCTGAGGGGAGGTGTCGAGCAGCTATTGCTGATTGGAGGAGAGGTACAGGTTGCTGATGGATTGCTTTGATGATGACTTAATTTCGAGAGATATCATAATCAGACGTAGCTGTTCACAGAATTTGTACAGATTTGAATCTGTTTGTCCACAAAGTTTATTACTATATACAAAAAGGTTTCTTTGGGGGGTTTTTTTGTTTGTTTTTTGTTCTGCTCAAAAATGGGTTCATATAAAATATTGGTTTTCAGCTGTACAAAAAAAATCATTCACAGCAAAGTTTAGATATTACAGCCTTAGCAAAAAAATGTGTTCAATACATGAGCAGGTTAGAGTTTCTAGACAAACTGTAGACCTGAAACCTGAGTCAGACTTTAGTTGTAAAAATTCGAGTTTTCAGGGAGTGTGCCATTGGCATGCTGACTGCAGGAATGTCCACTTGAGCTGTTGCGCGTAAACTGAATGTTACTTCACTACCATAAGATGTCTTCAGTGTTATTTCCCTGAATTTGGCAGCAAAACCAACTGGTTTCACAACCACACAAAACCCTGGTTAGGATTTTGAGCATGCAGATGAGCTTCCCTAAGATGGGTTCTGGCAATTTCAAAAGCTTATGGCAGTGAAATTCACATTCAATTCACGGGAAACAGCTCTGGTGGACATCCCTGTAGTCAGAGTGCAAATGATACACTCCCTCCAAACTTCAGACATCTGTGGCCTAACGTTGTGTCATCAAACTACACATATTAGAGCAGCCTTTTATTGTGACAATCCCAAGGCGTACCTGTGGAGTTATGGTGCTGTCACTAATCACTATTTTGAGATGCTACACCTGGAAGGTGGATGGATTATCTTGAGTGCATGAAAAAAATTCTCAGATCTTTGACTTAAACTTGTGAAAAATGGGAGAATGAACAGAAGTATTGCATTTAAATTTTTGTTCAGTATATAAGACACACCTCTGCTTTTTTCCTGCTATACCTGACATGGATTCCTCTCACCTCCTCCCTTTCCTACTTAAGGTGTCAGAACGTGGAGAGGAGCTGAGTGCCAATGTTTGCCGACTGGACGGTGAAACGGGAAGCTGGGAGGTGGAAACAGAGCTGCCGGCACAGCGGAGCCACCACTGCCTGGCGGTGCTGGGGGGCTTCATATTTGCTGCTGGCGGCAGCTCTTCCAGGGACAACGGTGGAGACGCTGCCTGTAACCTGCTGTACAGATACGACCCCCGCCACAACCAGTGGAGCAGGGTACTGTACCAAAGAGCCAGTTCCTTTCTCTTTATCAAAGACTTTTTTCAGCGTACAAATGAAACGTGTAAAGCATACACACAACATGCAGGTTAAGGTTTCATCTCAACTTGAGCACAAACAGGAAGTAATCTGAGAAGGTATCAGAGTAAAAGAAGATTCCCCACCTTCAAGCTGCCATTGTTTACTCTTTTGTCTCACTTCCTGTTTGCTGTGCTTGTCCTTTAGCAACTAACTAGGCCAGACACAGTGACAGTGTGGTGCTTTCACAGGGTGCTCCAATGAATGAGCGGCGGGTGGATTTTTACCTGGGGGCGGTGGGAGAGTGCCTGATCGCCGTGGGTGGAAGGAATGACACCGGAGCTTTGTCCTCTGTGGAGGTTTACTGTCCCGCTGAGGATTGCTGGTCCTATGTGGCAGGACTGCCCAGGTAGGAACACATGTTACTACTGGGTCTGCTGTTTATTGGGAAATTTCTGTCATGGATGGCTCGCCATGAAATTGGACATTTAAGGTCCCCTGAGGATTTACCCCTATGTATGACTTTGACTATGACTTTGGCGTCTGCCTGACTTTTCAAAACACTAGGTCAAACAGTAGGTCAAAACACTGTGTGTGTGAAATTCATGTCAGCCTTAGCTTACAAACTACAATGTAAAGTAAATGTAAAATTGAGCCTGATTATATGATACTACATCAGAATTTTACCATTGCAACTCACCTCCTTACAGCCGTCTCAGGGGACATAATGTGCAATGTCGTGGACATTATCATGAGCATTCTGTGTTAACCATGCGTTCTTACTACCTGTACTTCCAATTTGATAGTATTATTGTTTGGTTTTATGCCTCTGCAGCGGCAACAGCCATGGCCAGAGGCATTGTGTTACCAGGCTGTCCATATATATGTCCCATTCTTTTGAACACAGTATCTCAAGAACACATTGAGGAAATTTCCTCAAATTTGGCACAAAAAAAATGTGATGGTTAAAGTTCAAGGTCTCTGTGACCTTGCAAAACATGTTTTGGGCCAACATAACATCGTAATGTTCTGCAAAAACACTTTTGTGGCCATTACTTAACGTCGTAACTCGGGAGCAGAAGGGGAGACATTTGATCAGTCACTGAATTGGTGACAGTAATCTTGAATGTCCACCTTGAAACTGTGGTGATTGTATAGATGTTCTGTGCTGCCAGGGAGAGGTAGTGTGTAGCATTTGTGTTTTCATAGACATGGATGTGAACTGTAAGTGCGCACAACCAGAAAGGAGTAATCCTTGTTCATATTTACACTATTTGTATTTGCACTCTTCCCACTTTGTATTGTATCTTGTGTGCAGCTGAAGCTGATGGAAATTGACAGCTTATAGAAAACGTCAAGTCTGACAATTAATCTGATAAGAGATGTCCTAAAATGGCCACTGTAGAAATGGCAAACCTTTTTATTTTTTGTATACAGATGTATTTATAAACAAATAGTCCTTCCCTCAGTTTTAAAAACAGTTCTGTCCAAACAACTTTTACTTAACATTATATCTCCATCCACACTAAAATGACCCCAAATGCTTGCCGGCGTCCCCATCCCAAGGGTAGTTAAGCGTGCAGTCTGTTGGAGATCTCATCACCATTGATTCCTATTCAATATAAGGACGAAGAAGCTCACTTAAACATGCGAGTGTTCCTTCTACTCCTCATCGACAACAATCCCACTCTTGAAGCTGTCCCACCATCTGCTGGTTGGACCAGGTCTGATCCTAAACCGTCATTCCTGGCCAATTTTAACCAGCGGATGCTGACGTGTAGCAAATAACATTGGGTGCAGCAGACGGCTCCATTTGTCTGTGAAGTGGGGTAGCAATAGAGTTTAAGTGTAAAGTAGTCATTAGACCAAGCAGTGCTAACAAAACATTAGGAAACTGATAGTCTGCCATTGTTGTAGCTTTTTTCTGTTATACACAAAGCAACGATGAACATGCGTGAATTGAGGATATTATGTCATCGTATTCCAAACACAGTTTTACGTGTCCACCCAAGTTAACTGTTAATGGAATTAAAGGCATTTATAAAAAATATCTGTAATATTGACCCAAAGCTCAGTTTGAGTGTGGACGAAAGGTGAAACATAGAGGGAAATAATATCAGTTTTCAAAAATATCTGTGTAGACGGGGCCGTAATTTATTAAATGATATTTCCTTTTGTTTGGCACCAAGTGTATTTTTTCCCCCTGCTATTAATATTCAAGCTTATGTTTACAGTTCTATAATGTGTGGCTGTAGTGCCAACTTTTTGCCAACTTTTTGTTTCGGTGCTACATTGGGCTTTTTGAATTTTGTCGTTTCTAGGTTTACTTACGGCCACGCTGGGACGGTCCACCGTGGTGTAGTCTACATTTCGGGTGGTCACGACTATCAGATCGGCCCATACCGCAGAGATGTCTTGAGTTACGATCCGTCACGGGACGATGAAGTGTGGGTGGAACGCCAGTCCATGTCTCTGGCCCGGGGCTGGCACTGCATGGCCTCCCTCAACCACCTCATCTACGCCATCGGAGGCAGCGATGACCACGAAGACACCACAGAGCGCTTTGATATCCTGCAGGTAGAATCTTATGACCCACGCTGCGGCCAGTGGACCCAAGTGGCACAGCTGCTGATGCCCAACAGCGAGGCGGGGCTCTCAGTCTGGGCAGGGAGGATCTACGTGCTTGGGGGCTACAGCTGGGAGAGTATGGCGTTCTCTAGAGCCACTCAGGTCTACGACCCTGACAAAGGCTCATGGTCTAGAGGGCCTGACCTGCCAAAATGCATCGCAGGGGCCTCAGCGTGTGTTTGCACTGTGAAGCCCTCACTATCATCAGCTTCTCCAGAGAAGAAGATGGACAAAGGGATAAAAGGAAGATTACATCCCACGTACCAACAGCGATGAACTTTAGCTTTGTCCAAAAATACACGGCCTGACTTTTGGCTGAGACAGAGCCTGATGCATACTTCTGATACTAAATCTTTAATAGACGAGAAATATTTTGTTATGTCTACTACACGTGTATCAGAATAAATTGCTTACAAGCTCAGGAGCACTGCAGCATCACAAAGGGAGAGAAGTGGCAATAATTCAAAACACTGAAGTAACCAGACAGTGTTTAGTAAAGACCACCTGACTAATGTATGTTGACAAAAACTACATTATATGAAGGACAGTCTGTGCACTGCATTTGCCTTTACAGCTAAATATAGATGTACTCTGAAGAAAGCAATCATTTTATGTCTCTTGTACAGTTGATACACAATTAAGCTTTAGCATTCAGGCGCCTCTCTGTATTTTTAAAGCCAGGAAATGAGGGCTTGTAGAAGCTGAAGGCTGGATAATGTCTTAATATGTGGTTTAAACTGCCAGATGGGTGAAGGGTGAGAGTTGTACTCTCACAGTCTAATCTGCACTTTGAACATATTTATATCCTGCAGAAAGAAAAGACACCCGGAAGGTCAACGTAAAACTTGGTGTACCTGTAGATTCTTTGGCACGGTGCTAATGTTTTTGGAGCTGTTCATAAATGAAATGTAGGCTACATATAATGTGAATACATGGCATGAACAGCTCTATTAACACAGTTAACCAGCTGCTGACCAACATACATCTTGACATATTCTTTTGAATATTTCTTATAGTTGACCCATACATTGTTACCTATGAGAAATCAGATACAGCAGTATCCCAATTGTGTTTACAAGACTCATAAGATATTGTTTTGTTCAAACCAACAGCCAATTATCATAAAAGAAGATACTCAGTACGTTTACATGCACAGTTTAATTCCACTTTTAATCGGAATGAAAGGCCATTCCGATTAAAAGTGGTCACGTAAACGGTCATTCCGATTGAAAAACGGTCATTCCGATTGAAAAACAGTCATTCCGATTGAAAATTAAATCCGATTAAAGGGGGTGGTTTATTCCGTTTGTCATTCCTAATGAAAGAATTTTGTGTGCATGTATACACTCATTCCTCTTTAAGTTCATTCCAGTCTTTCTGCGCATGCTCGTTTCCTTGCCCTTCTGGCGCGATGACGTATATAGCGCGCATAGCAACGGGCTGCATAGCAACGGGCTGAGAGAGCAGTCGGACTTGTTGCACTCACCGGTTTCCATTTGCCACAGCACGGTCTTCTATCTCCCTTCTTCGACCTTCTACCTCCCTTCTCCTCCTCAACAGACGAAGCATTAGCAGAACAAGGTTGTTGTCGTACTGCTGCTTCAAGAATATAAGCAAAACACGCCCGAAAAAGACACTAAGAACGGCGTCGTCAAGCATCTTGTTATCCGGAGCGAGGACTACAGTGTTTTCTTCCGGTAAACGTAAACACGTAACATCCGCCCCGCCCCCTATCCAATCAGAAACGTTCCCTGCCCCAAACCTTGCACATACCTGAATAAAAGCGATTGAACTGATCTCCCATGTAAACCCTCATTCGGAATGAATATTTCCCATGTAAACTACCTGGAAAGACTTTCATTCCGAATGATTTCATTCAGATTTATTTCATTCCGAATGAGAAGCCATCATGTAACCGTAGCCAGTGATATTTCTAATTTTGGGAGCCATGCCCCAGGTCCTCTCACCAACTGCTGTCATGTAATCAAATGCTAAACCCCTCCCCCTAACACAGATTGTGCAATCATAGCTTAGCAGCATTAACCAGGCACTAATGCTGTCATCATGTGCTCTACGTGGACAGCAGTTAACAGTTACAACCTAATACCATATTACAAATTATATGTAAGGAAATATATAAACATATATATATATAAATATATATATGCAGTATATGAATTGATTAAAAGATTATCAACATCAACAGCACATTTACTTTTATCCGCCATGTTTCTGTATATAGAGAATAGGATCCTGATGTGAGCTGCACTGAGCGACATAAAGCATTGGGGGATTTTAGGACACGGAAGCTATGGTAGAGACTGAGTACTACTAGATGACAAGGTTGTCTTATCCATCTTGAAAACATGGTGGAATGGTAAACGTTGGCTGCATTATCAACTGCCATAATCACTCTCACAACCAGCGTGGGAAACGGACAGCTAATGAAGTGTGCTTTTTCAGCTTTCTAGTTTGCAGTGGACACTGTGCACACTCCACTTGATCACTGGAGCTGAGGATCACCCATGGCTTGAGTGGAGGTTCATGAAGGCATTGAGAGTGCAAAACCTAAGACATAAATAACATTGACTCAAGTATAAAAAAAATAATAAAATAAAAAACAATCAACATAGCCACCGCATTTACAATTTTTTAGTTTACTAGTTAATCACCGTGATGGAAACTAGTCCAAAATGGAAAGAACAAACTGCAGCAGCGACAACAACAGCAATGACTCCACCACCGCTTTGACTGGAAAGCACACTTATCAATGAACTTAGCGGTAACCAAAATGTGATCTAAGTGAAAGACAAACTGTAATGACTAAATGTGATGCAGTGTTGGCCTTGGAAAAGGATATTGTTTTCTTGAGTTTGAAGTGGTGACACAAAGAGATGTGTGTGGTGAGTGGCGATGAGGTTAACTACTTTTGTGCAAACGATGATTTTCTGGTCCATTAGTGAATGGAAGGTGGGCCTCGAAATTTACAGTTTTGAAACTGCTCAGATGTGTAAGCACTTACACCACAAATGAGGTAGGAAAACATGTCCATAATTGTTACACTTTTTAACTTGCTGATATTACCCGACCACTCCTTGTGTTCATACGGATCAAGGCCGTTTATTTCCTTCAATTTTGGAGGCTGTTTTTAAGCTACTCCTGGAGCTAACATTAGCTTAAGCAGTTTGCTAGCTACAGCAGATCAAATCTGCCAGTGACACATGTAATTAAAGTCCAAAAACAATCGTCGACAAAGCTGTTTTTGTCTACTTGTTCTCAGACCAGTGCCAAACCCACAACACTGTTTAGTTAGGGCAATGGGCCGGAAGAAAGAATTTGTTGTGCTTTTATTTGTGGAGCATCTCCTACAAGACCTACAGTTGAGTAACAAATGCCTGAGCATTAGCACTGTACAGGCACACTTCCACTGCCAGGTATTGGATCAGGTGACCATTGAGGTGGAACACATTACCATCAAAATGAGCGACATGCCTCCTCATCCTCATTCCAGCTCCAAGCTCCATCTGCTTTAGGTGACCAAAAGTTGTGGAACTGACATTGTCTACAACAGACATTGTAACCACTGCCTCTTTAGTACATTAATTAAATGCTTTATTTGTTTGTTATTTAATAATTATAAGGACAGACTTAAAGTGATCTACAGACTGAAAAGGTTTGTCTGTTCTCTGTTAGATACCAAAGCACAAATTGTTACAGCGGAAGAGCTTCATGCTTTTGGAAGGTGCATCCAGCAATGCCAACCTTAACACACATACTGAAAGTGTATGTAATAAAAAATAATGTGCTCAGTGTGTTGTAATTTAATTTATAATTAATTTGTAAGTCTTAACCTGTCATACTGACTTTAATTAAAACTGATCTGTGTAAAAACAAATGTACAATATTTTATTCATAAAATGAAAAAATTATAAAAGTTAGCATCTCATTTCTCAGAGCTTATCAGTGCCCTGATCTTTGTCACATTCATAACATTGAGAAACTGAATTGTCCTTAGATTTGTCTTCACTTTCACATCATCATTATTATCATCATGTAAATAAGGCACTGATGAATTACAGCAGGTGATACTGTAGGTAGACTGCACTTAGCTGCTCTGTGTCTTGTTGATGTTGATCAGAAGATCCATTTTGCTGTCTCTTTTCTCTCCTGGCAGCCTTATTCAAACGGGTAGTATGGATGAGACTTGGTCCTGAGGAACAGAACAACAGTCATTACAGTGACAGTAGCTGCACTTTGCATATGATTATTACTGTGTGTTCACTTACTCTTCAAGGGCCAAAGTCCTCCAGCCTCGGTTTAGTCCTCTCAGTGCTGTCATGTCTTCTTCAGTCAGACTGAAGTCAAAGATCTACACAAACAATGAAAACTGATTGTGACAAATGGGCTTTTATAGGTAACCAGATTTATGCTTATTCTGTTTCCTCATAACAAGTCCTAGACTATAGTGTTATTATCCTTGCAGTGGAGTTAATAGACCAGCCCCTACAAAGGTAAATACACCAGTTTGGGGCTTATTGCCCAATTGGTCAACTTAGCTATTAAGTAGCCTAGTGAAAACAGACACCCAAAATCGTCTGTGTCAACTCTGAAGAACATGTTGTGTTGAATGATGACTACAAGCTGGCAGTATGCAACATGAGAGGAGGGACTTTTTAGTATTGAAACTTTAGTAGTGATTTTTAAGCCATGTTAGCATCAGGGGTGTAAGGATGGTGAGGTCTGCAAGTCCAATAAAAAAAGTTAACGCCTCCACATCACAGTATCTATTGCATCGTATATATGTATATATATACAGGATACAGTATAAACACATTCATGCATACACCAATAGGCTGTCAAGCTCTATGAGTGCATTCACATGAACATCCCATTTATAATCGTGTTTATGAAGTAATCTGTTTGTGTTTGAGCATGTAAACACCATATTCTGTTTGTCAGAAACCCGAATATGCTAGAGTTCTCCGAAAGAAACCGTGATGTACATGGGAAAGATGAATAACCTGATTCTTCTGTGCCCAAGTAAACACCATATCCCAAATATGATCATAACTGGGATAAGCCTCATAAATGGGCTACTCATGTCCATGTAATCGCACTCTGTGATGATGTGTGGTTAATCATCCAACCTGCCCAGGATGATTAACATCTCACAGCATTTAACAATTCAAGAAGGTACATCTCAAAGACAAGTATCAGAGATTGCTCAGAGATACAGTGGTAGCGAGCATGTTAGACCTTCAAGAGGAGGAGGGCATAAGCACCCTCTCCAAAGGGAGAGCTTTTACCTCTTTCTCTTCAAACTCCAACACCAAGAGGGCTGTATGAAAAATACAAAGTACAACATTTTTTGTAATTTCAAATTTAGATCTACTTAAAGGCGAAAGGGTAATTTTTTTAACCTGAACCCTCTTTCCCCATGTTTTTTGCCTTTAAGTGACTAATAGAGACAACTGTTTTTTGTTTTGTTTTGTTTTTTTGTTTTATAAATCAGTCCAGTATTGAGCAAGACTGCTGCAGCTGGCAACAGCAAAACTGGGGTCCGTTTCACAAAGCAGGTTTAGTGAAAACTCAGAGTCTGTTAACCCTGAAATGAGGGTAACTCAAACCAGAGAAAGAGGGGTGACTCTAGCCTGTTTCAGAGAGAGAGGTAACTTAAGCTCTCGGTCAGTTACCGTAGTAACATGAACGTCTTGAAAACGAACCCCGTTTTTCGTTTGGGGGTTCCCGGTCTAGACCGATTCACGTCTCCATAAACTTTCAAATCAAACATGTAATGTACTCACCTCATAGGCACAGATGTTAGGAAGGTGTACGGGGGTTGCCGTGTGTTTGTATATCCGTTATTGTTCAATAAACATGCATTTTATCTCGGGATGTCTTGAAATTTTCTTCACCCCTTCTTCGTCCTGCAATGTGCACCGGCTTTCTACTGCGCCTGCGAAAGTTTATGGAGACGTGAATCGGTCTAGACCGGGAACCCCCACACGAAAAACGGGGTTCGTTTTCCCAAGGCTACTATGAACCTAACCTGGTCGGGACCAGGTTTTTCTCTCTGTCTCCGCCCTCTTTCAGAGCCACACACTCCATTTGATTTCCTCATTCATTCAGTCAGAAGGCGAGTTTTGGCGTAGCCTAGTTCTGCCGTCTGTCATTTAAAAAAAAAAATCAGAGTCAGTATATTAGAAGTCCATGTAGGCACAGTAGATGGCGACTTTTTTCACTAACATGGCATGTCCTTTTGATAACGATCCCGTGGATTCAGCATTACTGCGCAGAGAATTAAATATTCGTCGGGAGATGGTTATCAGACCGCGCATAGATGTTTTAGCATTTCCACACAATTATCTTTTTGAGCGGTACCGTTTCACGTCACAGTCCATCATCTACATACACAACCTGAACATGAGAAGACATTTATGTGTGTGAAAACAGCATTATGTTGGCGATAAAACAACTACACGGTCAAACAGCCACTTAATATTTACTTTACAGTGTAAAACATAATCAAAATGAGGTACCCCCATGAGATTATGCCGAGGTCTTACCTGTTTGAACAATGTTTTTATATTTCATCCTAAACTGCTGCCAAATACGCTTCTCCCCCGCGGGATTGCACCTAAATGAAATAAATTAAAAGGCTACCATTCAAGCAGTTTTCCCCTGTAATATTATTGTGATTGCAAAGGACTACATTTAAACTTACGCTTTGACCCGAGCAGCAGTGTTTTCCCACACCGTCTCCCTCTCTTTTGCAGCTGCAGCGGTGTTGCACTTCTTTTTGAAAACGTGTTCAAACTCGTCGTATGAGCGCATTAAGATTTCTAATTCTAGTGGGGTGAAAAACGCAGCCCTCCTCTTCCCCGTTGCCATGGTGACTCGTCGAATCGGGGCTCCATTGATGCTGGCTTTTTATAGTCGTGGCGCACGCGCTTAACTCCAGGTGAAACTACTCCGAGTTGATTAAACTGATTCAGATCAGCTGTTCTGGAACCGGAAACTCAGAGTTTCCTATCTCAGAGTAGATCAACTCAGAGTTCAGGATTAGACTCAGAGTTTGTTGAACCTGCTTTGTGAAACGGACCCCAGGCTGCAACGTAACGGTACAGGGCAACTGTACACCGTCAACTTGCATCCACTAAAAGTGCTTGTTTTTGTCACTGATAGGCTCCGATTGTTATTTTTAGTATCTGACAACACTGCAGAAAGGACTCCGCATAGGTCAACGTTTTTGTTAAAGAGTAAGGTCCTTTTTGTGTAATTCAGAAACAGCGCCAAAATCGCTAATCGCTAGAAATATAATAATAATAATAATAATAATAATAATATGCTGGCTCTATACACACTAAAATGACTGTTCATTTAAATGGAGTCTGGTTGGTTTGCAGATTGTGATTTCTGGGCTGTTTCTAGGTAAACGGATTTTATTCTTTGACTCTGAAGTGATACTTTCCATAATGTTGGAGTACAAAATAACAATCTGAGCCTGTCAATGGCAAAAACAAACACTTTAAGTGTATGTAAATTTACAGTGCAGACATGCCCAGAGTGTTTGCATTGCAGCCTGTTTCACACTCTTGATACTGGGCATTAGTCACTTAGACACAAAAACAGGAAAACAGTGGCCAGGTTGAAAAATACTGAAGTTACCCTTTAAGGTATATCTTCTTCTTGGTATCTCATCAAATTCTTGACACGTGTGTTTAAATACAGTGCATATGTGTGCTGATATTCTGATGTGCCTTTACTGAGTTATTTATCCATTTTAAGATTCTCTTAGACAGGCTTGGAGTCAGTGTGCAGATGTTTGTTGATTTTTAACTGATGCTGCTTTTTACATCCTTCAAAGAAGTCTGTCTGTGCACCACTTTTGTTCAGACTGAATTATTTCCAACACTATTAAAGGGGATGGATTGTCTTGACATTTTGTACAGACATTCATGGTCCCCAGAGGGTGAATCCCTGAATCATTTGGGGTTATGAGAGAAATTTCTTGACAACAATCAGATGGATCGCCATGAAAGTTGTTCATGTCCCCTCAGATGAATTGCAATAACTAGATCCCTTAACCTTTCATCCAGCACATTATTGTTAAACTTTCCGACTACACTGTAGCTGATGTATGATGCATTTCAACTGAGAGCTCTGTTGGGCCTTAGCTGCATGTAAGAGCATGTACCATTCTGCAGTTTCCTTAAAGCAACAAAATAATGCAAACGTCCAGAATCTGTGTGGACCAGAGTCCAGATGATATACTGAACAATGTCTAATGAACACACAACTATCACAAAGCAGCGTGAGCACTAAAGAGAGCAGGCAATTAGTGGGAATGAGCCTGCCAGATGGAAACAGTTAGAGAATAAAGAGCAGAGAGGAAGGAGAGGTTTTACCTTTGTGTTTTCAAGGATGTGATGAGGCTTGTCGCTCTTAGGGATGACTGAAATACCCTGCTGCACATGGTACCTCAGTAATACCTGTGAGAATACAGTTGTTACTAATGAAGAAATACACACACACACTTACACACACACAGTACACATGCTCACACTGACCTGTGCAGTGGTGCGTCTGTGCTTCTTGGCTATGTCTGTTATGACTGGGTCTTCCAGGAGCTTATGTGGATCTGTGTCTCCTCCGAGCCTGAGATAGACAGATAAAACCGAGAGCACAGGATTGTTCATTCACAAGAATCAGTAGGCTGAATAGGTAGTTCTTGTACATTTCTATTACACTCGTTACTCCATATTTCACTACTCTGAAGCAGCATCCTACGTCAGTCTGTGTCAGAAACATCAAAGACCAACCTCACCTTGTCTGCAGTCACTTGTGCTCATATCTATCCATAAGAGCTGTAGACTACTTCTCATTGAACTCAAGCTCAGAGGTTGTGGATCAGATAGGCTTAATGAGAGAATAAACCTTAAGCATAACAATGAGGTTCAGTGTTGTGAGATCTGCTTAACCCCTAACCCCACAAAGCCAGACTACATCAGCAAGATCCTCCTCTACTCCCAGAATTCTCTGTCACAAGAGAAACTAAAACTGGTAGAGCTCCTCTCAGGATTCACATCAGTGTATCCTTAAATCAATAAGGAGCTCAGGGTGAGGTTCTAAAGTTCAAAAGCCAAAGCAGTTTCTCTGCACAGCGAGAAAAGTTTTGTTTGGGTGTGCTGACCTGAGGTGTAAAGAGTAGAGGAACTTAGAAAGAGTGTTGCAGGATTCAAGGATTTATTATTGTCATTATATGATAAAGATATATTAAACATATATTTTAATTAGGACAGAATAAAAACTACTAAAACAAAATGTGACTTTGTGACTGATACTTGGTGGGTATCCCAATGCTAATATTACAATTACTAAGTTTTAACAGCAGTAACTGTATCATTAAGGCCACGCACTGTGTGTATGTCTACTACATGTACTGCCTACTACAGGTACTACAGACAGCAAAAATACGACATGTACTATACTATGTGCACTGCCTACGACAAGGAAAACAATGCTATTTCTCTGAACTCTCTTTACTGGTGTGAAGATGACAAAGGGTTGCTTGTAGGATCACAGATACTATTATGTACAATAAATAGGACCTGAATTATCTGACCTGTTTAGAAGCTCTAATTTGATTATAACGCTGCAGTATGAATCAACACAAAGTGGATCTAAACACATCTTTCCTCTGGATTAAAAAATGACCTCTAAGCATGATCATATGCACTTAAGAATATCAACAGAAGTATCCAGATGCTTTGTCCATCTTTAAGCCTCAGTGTGAGTAAGTGGAGTGTGTGAGTGAGTGATGCTGTATATCTTACAGCTCTGGGGGTCTGGCAGGCGAGCCGAAGGGACTGTAGGCAGTTAAAGCGATGTTCTTGGATTTACAGAACTCTATCATATCTGTCTGCACCAGGTAGGGATGTAGCTCGATCTATGGATGATAAAACACCCAACTAAAGGTAAATACAAATGGATGCTGATTTGGACAGAGCTCATTCAGAACTTTGATGTACAGTCAGCTTCTAAACTGGACCAAAGTTTAGTTCCAGGATGTTCTCTCTATGGTGTTACATTACTGTTAAAAAGCAAAACCTGTGACACATCACAATATGTTGCAGTATGCTAGTTGCACTGCCATATGATGTAACATGATTACATCACACAAATTACATGAACAAACTCGCCATATAATGATGCTATGTTGTATATGGCAACATATGATGTCATAGTAACCAAGAGAGAATTTCATTTGTGACATCATATAATATCACATAATATCATATAAGGTAATATGATAACCAGCTAAAGAAATCATTCATGCAAATAATCTTAAATATTTAATCATGACATAAATTGTGGTGATATTTGTGACATCAAATGACACCAGTTGATCGTCATCAGGATGCTTTAAAATGTCATGGATAAATATTCACGACTCTTTGCCGTTAAAATAATATTTTTTTTCCACTGTTATCCTGGCATTATACGATGCTGTACAATGCTATCTGCCATCATTGTGTGACCCATTGTCAGGTGTCATTATACGTTGGTATGTCATCCCACTACAAGAATGTAATACAAAGTAAAACTGTTTTCACTTATTCATTTTTCATTCCTGTTCCTGAAACCAGGCCTGCCTTTAGAAATTATGGACAGGGGGACAACATTTTTCACATTGGGTCCCTCACCCACAACCACTCCAGCACCACCACCCACAGACCCTAAAAGAAAAGCTCTTGGCCATTACCCTTGTAGAGACAGAGATAAATATGTTTAACTCATGACATCATCATTACACATGTAAAATAATAAGGCTCACGGAATCCAAAAGAGTCTCAGTTTTCCAGTCATACCCAAAATATGCAATTCCAAGACTGTTTAAGGACCCCAGTGTGTAGAAGTATTCAAATATACCACTTTGAATACGGTGATGCCACTTTTTGTTTTTTCCTTTGCCAAAATTTTTCATCCATCCTTGACAAGACAGCTACTGTAGCTAAGTACTCATAACTTGTATTGTCAGTGATATAAGGCAGTAAGCAAATTGTTGCACTTGATACTTTCATCACCCTTTGACCCACTACACCCATGCCCTGCATCGGAACAGATTCATCCTACTTCCAACCAGAGTGCCTCCTCTGTTCCTCATTTTTATCTACTGGCTCATTAAGACAAAACAAAACTCAACCTGATGGAGCTATCTCTACCATTCAATGTGGTATGTTTTGCTAAAAAAAAAACCTCCAGATGTCGCTGTGTTTTTAAATAGTCTGCCTTTGCGTTCACCTCCTACAGTAATTAGTTAGAAGAAAAAAAATACAAAAATAAAAGTCTATTAAAGGTCAAATTGTTATTTTTAAAAGCATGCCCTACCAAACAGTTCATTTGTTCTTTAACAGTAAAGATCGTGAAGCTAAGCTTATGTCATTAAAACTGGCTATTTGCTAACAAATGAAAACACTTCTGATCATCCATTGTTGTTGAACAATACATTTAGTGTTATCCAACACACACACACACACACACACACATATACAGTACAGGCCAAAAGTTTGGACACACCTTCTCATTCAATGCGTTTTCTTTATTTTCATGACTATTTACATTGTAGATTCTCACTGAAGGCATCAAAACTATGAATGAACACATGTGGAGTTATGTACTTAACAAAAAAAGGTGAAATAACTGAAAACATGTTTTATATTCTAGTTTCTTCAAAATAGCCACCCTTTGCTCTGATTACTGCTTTGCACACTCTTGGCATTCTCTCCATGAGCTTCAAGAGGTAGTCACCTGAAATGGTTTTCCAACAGTCTTGAAGGAGTTCCCAGAGGTGTTTAGCACTTGTTGGCCCCTTTGCCTTCACTCTGCGGTCCAGCTCACCCCAAACCATCTGGATTGGGTTCAGGTCCGGTGACTGTGGAGGCCAGGTCATCTGCCGCAGCACTCCATCACTCTCCTTCTTGGTCAAATAGCCCTTACACAGCCTGGAGGTGTGTTTGGGGTCATTGCCCTGTTGAAAAATAAATGATCGTCCAACTAAACGCAAACCGGATGGGATGACATGTCGCTGCGGGATGCTGTGGTAGCCATGCTGCTTCAGTGTGCCTTCAATTTTGAATAAATCCCCAACAGTGTCACCAGCAAAACACCCCCACACCATCACACCTCCTCCTCCATGCTTCACAGTGGGAACCAGGCATGTGGAATCCATCCGTTCACCTTTTCTGCGTCTCACAAAGACACGGCGGTTGGAACCAAAGATCTCAAATTTGGACTCATCAGACCAAAGCACAGATTTCCACTGGTCTAATGTCCATTCCTTGTGTTTCTTGGCCCAAACAAATCTCTTCTGCTTGTTGCCTCTCCTTAGCAGTGGTTTCCTAGCAGCTATTTGACCATGAAGGCCTGATTGGCGCAGTCTCCTCTTAACAGTTGTTCTAGAGATGGGTCTGCTGCTAGAACTCTGTGTGGCATTCATCTGGTCTCTGATCTGAGCTGCTGTTAACTTGCGATTTCTGAGGCTGGTGACTCGGATGAACTTATCCTCAGAAGCAGAGGTGACTCTTGGTCTTCCTTTCCTGGGTCGGTCCTCATGTGTGCCAGTTTCGTTGTAGCGCTTGATGGTTTTTGCGACTCCACTTGGGGACACATTTAAAGCTTTTGCAATTTTCCGGACTGACTGACCTTCATTTCTTAAAGTAATGATGGCCACTCGTTTTTCTTTAGTTAGCTGATTGGTTCTTGCCATAATATGAATTTTAACAGTTGTCCAATAGGGCTGTCGGCTGTGTATTAACCTGACTTCTGCACAACACAACTGATGGTCCCAACCCCATTGATAAAGCAAGAAATTCCACTAATTAACCCTGATAAGGCACACCTGTGAAGTGGAAACCATTTCAGTACTGTATATATATATACTATATATATATATATATGTATATTTTTTACTGTCTTAAGCCATGCTCAACCAAATAGTTGAATTGTCCTTTTATGTTAAAGGTAGTAATGCTAAGATAATACATTTACATTTTTTATGTAATTAAAAAAAAGATTCATATTTACTGTTGGTAATACCATATATTTAATGTTATTCCATCATATGTTTGATGAAAAGAATCTATATCACTATGATTTTTCACCAACTCTGACATGTTTTCAAAGTACTGTAATGGTAAATATCGAGAAAAAAATACCTGAAAATAATACTAGTAGTGGTAATATTACTAATTCCATGGTAACAAGTTAATATATGTTGGTATACTAACATATTCCTAGCATTATAACACTATATTGTTTGTAATTTTATTTATTTATTTTGTTTTACAGTTACTATAGAGTGACTTTTAAAAACCTATGGGGTCTGTTAAAAAAATAAAAAATGAAAGAAAAAAGTTAATTAGGATAACCCAACTGAGGTTGGACCACTTATTTTTTTTACTTAAACAATAAATGAAATTGGTCTATACTTGAATAAGTATGATGGAACTGATATGACAATGTTATCTTTCTCCTGATTATGTCAGTAATGGAGCTACTGTAAATATGTGGTACCTGATTGACAGCAGGGGGCACCTTGCACAGAGCAAGGAGTCTCTCCAGCTGCAGGATGCTGAAGTTGGACACACCAATACTCTTCACCTTCCCTGAGGCCTGCAGGGCTTCCATTCCCTGAAAACAGACCATGACAGTGAACACACGACAACCATCGGCTCTCAAAGGCTAATGTGGTTTAACTAAAAATAATCCAAATGTACTTCCCGTGCCAGGTGGTTGTTTGTTTGGTGTGTTTTATTTAAAACAAGAGAAAATGTACGGTAACTACTGAAGCGATTCTCTATGATATAGTGGATGAATGTGTAGAGCTGCATATATATGGTGTCTGTGGTGGTGCCAGTGCAAACAGAAAGAGTACACGTGTTCATACCCTCCATACATCTACATAGTCTATGTCAGAGGTCAGAATCTTTCCATCCTTCTTCGGGAAAAACTCATCACCAATTTTCTACAAAGACATTTAAAGGTATCAGTCAGACAGATGCAAATATGTAGCATGTGTTCTTTTAACATATACAAGTACTTCCCTCTTTCAAGCATATTTAGTAAAGTTTTAAAACATGCAGATACAGAGACTACTGGCATTAAGTGACACTTTTGTTACTGGCAAGGAATAAAATATGTGATTTCAGTAGGCTGGTCCTACTGACAAACACACTTAGAATAAACATTGTTGCTTTACACAGTTTTAGCTTCTCATTATTGTTGTTCTCAGGCCTCAACATAAACTCTATAAATGCCTCTCCCTGCTCTCACTAATTCCCCAGGGAGAAATTTTTTAATTCAGTTTCCAGCAGCATTAGGCAACTGTTTTCAGCAAACTATGATGAGCAGTGGCACCTCCAAGGGGGGGGGGGGGGCAAACAGGATCATGGCCATAATTGTCTTTAAGAGGCTGTGGCACTCATTTTTTAAGCTGTCACGAAGGTAAAAACTAGTCAAAATTGAAGCTATCCATTGATACCAAGCATGTCGGCATAGCTTGTTGGAAAGGGGGCTAAATAACGTTCCAAACAGTAAAAGGCTACACAGGGAAAAAATGCCAACAAAAAATCGGCTGTCAAAAGTCAAAAAAGTCCTGTGCACACCAAAACAGTCTTAGACAGGTGCGTAGATGGGGCAAACAATGAATCAAAAAGGAGAACACCACAGGACTTTTTTGACTTTTGACAGCCGATTTTTTTGTTGGTATTTTTTCCTTGTGTAGTCTAATAAATGTAACCTTTTTCTACAAGTGCAGACAGTGTGCGGGTGTTCTCCTTTTTGATTCACTGATTGCCCCACCTGCGCACCTATCTAAGACTGTTTTGGTATGCAAGGGACTTTTTTGACTTGGTGAGGAAACACCTGGCATGGCCATTTTCAAAGGGGTCCCTTGAAGCATTACCTCAAGATATCTGAATGAGCATGTGTTCTATGGGTGCCCATGAGTCTCCAACTAAACTTGAAAAGGCTTGTTCCCAGTAAACACATTTACTGTTCGGGCAGGACCTTTCCTTAATGGGCTCTTAAGCCGCAGAAATTCATACCAATTCTAGTCAAATATCTTTTTTTCTCTAGCTTGGGTCAAGGATCTCTGGGATAAGGGCAGGAAAGGGAATTTTAGATTTTACACTCCACCTGTAGGCCAACAGGAAAATGCACAAGGTAAAGATCCAGGTAGTCCAGCTGGAGATCATTCAGGGACTTATTCAGACACACAGGGATGTCCTCTGGGGCATGGAAGGTAGACCACAGCTATAACAAAAAGGTACAGGGCAGGAGAGGTAACAGAAAATTAAAATGTTGTATACAATACACTAGGTAGTATACTAAAACCATAAAAAAATCTATACCATAATCTAAAACATGGTACTTTTTCTTCTTTTACTAACTCAAAAGCTTTTTTGATCAAACAGAAAACTTCAAAGGTGTAATTAACAATGTAATTCTCCCTCATCATGTTGCATCCTGACCTTTTTGTAACACCTGTTCTTCTCAGCACCCACCTTACTGACGATGAACATGTCCTGGCGCCTGATGATGCCTTGCTCTATTTTGGAGCGCAGAGCCTTGCCAATATCAACTTCATTTTTGTAGCAGAAAGCAGTGTCTATATGGCGATAGCCGGCCGCAATGGCAGTCTCCACTGCACCCTGGACCGAGGTGCGGGGAAGATGTGAGGACTGTGAGAAGTAAAACATGTTAAAATAGGCCTGTCACTTTCTTGACATCTCCACCACTATCAGTCATATTAATAACAATAAAATCACCAGTTCTCTTTGTGCTGTTAACAATTTAAAGCATATTTGAATATTTGGGCGATGTGTCCCTCCCAGTATACTGTATATTATATTTACTGCCTAGAGGTGTACTAATGTTCATTTTCTTTCTGGGCATCAGATGAGAAGACTGATACCACTCTTACATCTGTCCGTTGAAAGCCTTACTGTACTTTGTCAGATTTTTTAGTACAGTAAGCAAAAGAGAGTCTATTATGGGTCTATTATACAATTGCAGCATATCACCAAGTCTGTCTAGGTTAATAGGCAAATACCAGGGCTAAAACATCTGTCCCAAGTCCAGAAGCCAGGGCAGGTGCTTCAGAACAGGCTCCTGGACTGTGTTCTTTAAATGGGGCTTAACTAATTCAAGCTAAAATAATCCTGTTTATTCTCATCCAGCTAATTTGGTGTAGCATCAGCACTTTCTCCATTACAGTAAAAACTGTAACATTTTGCCTGTGTGTTGCATCTCTGAGGCAGCACTTTCTTTGCCCAATTATTTGAATGTCACTTAAAAAACGTTAAGGATCAGGCGGTTAAGGTTTTGTCATTGTTTGGATTAGGGTCAGTCTTAAGGGAACAGTTCTACATTTCTAGAAATATAATTTGCATTCTTGTCAGGCGGTAGATAAAATCAATACCATTCTCATATTTGTGTCAATTTGCTCAGCTTGGCTTAAAGACTAGGAGCAAGAAGCTAGCCTGGTACTATCCAAAGCTGAGAAAACATATGTGTGCGAGCACACATAAAGCTCACTAAAAAAAACTTTACACAGTAGACACTTTGACATGTCAGGAAAAGCAGGTGGATTTCATAACATTAACGATGGCTGCGCTCCACTTAGGGGAGGCCCTGGTATTCTGTGTGCTGGCTTACTGAAATAGTTTACTGGGACACTTAAGTGAGCCATTGTTACTGTTATCAGTTTCACCTGTTCTTTTCTTACCATGACAAGTTAAAACTTCTGCTGTGAAGAAGCTTTGTCATCATTTTATACCTCATTTGTTCAATCCATATAGAACAGAAGTTACGTGCTGTAACTAAATCTCTCCTGGCACAGCTACTTCCTTTTTGACATCACATTAAAGTAGGCAGGCAACTAGGGAAAACTCTAGGAGGTATGATTTTGGTTTCTGTAGAAATTAAACAACAAGATATAATGTGTTGATTAGTGAGCTTCAAAAGTGCTTACAGGCAGATTTTTAGCTTCAACCAAGCGACAACCTCTGGGGCTAAAAATAAATTAAGCAAGCACAGAATTGCCTGGCTCCAGAAGCAAGTCAATCTCAGTTGACCCCCATGTTAAAATACCTAACTCGCTCCTCCACAGCTCCACCCACTCATCCAACTTTGGTCACTTCTGGCTCCAAAAAAACCAAGATGGCAACAGCCAAAATGCTGAACTTGAAACACCAGAAGAGGAGCCCACGAACCACTGGGGGACGTCACAGTAACTACGTCCATTAATTTATGCAATCCATGGCTTCGACCAGCAACTCTATAGGTCGTTCTGTTGGTTAGTCATTCCAAAAAAACTTTGGTGGTCATTGCTTTTGCTTTAGGAGGGTGAAATCTGGGGGTGAGTGATAAGAGTGGCCAATAACCAAAAGCTGCATAACTTCTAATTGGTCTCCACACACAGATTGACAGACATACACATACACATATATACACCATGGTTGTCAGAGGGAGCCTTAGTTGGATTTTTGACACATGTGTGTGAGGTTGTGCATGTGTGAATGCATGAACTTGCAGATGAATGCAAATCAGCACTTGTTGAACTTTGGACAGAGCTAAAAGCTGCTTCCCTGTGCTTCCAGTCTTAATGCTAACTTAGTTAATCATCTAACGGTTCCAGCTCCATATTGCACAGATATGAGATTGGTATCAATCCTCTGCAAAGCAAAATAAGCACATTTCACAACATGTCAAATTATTCCTTTGATAAAGGGGGTGGGGTCAGTGTGCAGCCTGAGATCAAGTCCCATATCCTTTAATCTGGACGATGAATGATCTGCCTATCAGAATCCAGTATTTTCAACTGACAAATGCAAAGTTCATGCAGTATGTACTCTTTAACCTAAAATTCATGTATTTGCAAAGCATGATTAAGAACTTTACTCTCAAACAGTATGCAAGAAAATAAATTGTTAACAGCTGGATTGTTTGCAGTAAAAAGCAGATATAGGAATAAGTGTGAAGCTACCTTCCATGTTCCCAGACCCAAAACTGGCATTCGTGTGCCATCATTCAGCTCTATGGTCCTGGCCACCTGTGTGTCCTCCATGGAGTAGATTGCACGGCAGGAGAAAAACAACAAAATGTAAAACTCAGCACACACTTGCACACTGAGCTTTCCTCTTTCTCTTGTCCCCTCAGACTGCAACTGCTGAGTCAATGTCCTTCCTTTTTTTTATGTTGACTTTACTTCTCTATCTGACGTTTTTCTTCTCTTCTCTCCCTTATATCTTCCCTTCTCACGTGTTTTTTTCTCCCTTCTATTTTGACCTTATCAGTCACGTAGTTAATTATTGGACAAAATAGAACACTCCACCACCATGAAGTATTTATGTGTATAGTTAGTAGGTGAGGAGGAGCATGTTGCAAAGGTCACTTTTCTCATAGGGGTGGCAGTACACACACACACACACACACGCACACATACACACACACACACACACACACACACACACACAAAGGCACAGTCACAAAGGCACAGTCACATTCTAAGAAAAATCTGTTGTAATATTTCCAGTTCAACATTAGATGGTGATGTGGTATCACCTAAAATAAAAATGCTGTAGATTTGAAGGAGTAAGTTTTTATCCTATCATGTCCAGTGATAAAAGTCTAACGATCTTCATATATCATAATAATACATAATAAATACCAATTAATGAATGATGGGGTCATAATCATTCAAGGAGCATGATACCATAAAGTCATGTAAATGAATCATTTAGATGTATGACTCATGATTCACAATTATGATTTCCATTACACTTATCAAGGAGCAAGACAAAGACTTTACTGCCTCTTTGAGGTTGTACTTTGGCACAGCAGTGATTTGAGCGACATACTTATATTAACATGCTGTTGTTTGTCATTGAGCATGTTTGTGTGCTAACATTTTTTAATACTACTAAACACAAAGTACATCTGATGCTGATGGGAATGTCATTAGTTTGACAGGTATTTGGTCAATAATCAAAATTCTGATGTGTTGATGGCACTAGATAACAAGATAGAGGACCACCAGAGTTATTACAGTTCATCCTGAGGGGGATCCATCCAACAGCAATAATACCCCAGAAAACTGGTAGGACTAGACAAGCATGCTGCCTCTGTAGCATATGTTTATTGTTATTTATTGATTTGTTAATGTTAGAAATAAAATATATTTAATCCAACAATCCATCCTACCCTTGACATATCATTTCTCTCATGGTGACGCTGGAGGGAAGTCAGTCAAAAAAATCATTGATGAAGTAGATGCTGAGCTATTTCACGACTTGAGTCAAAACTTTAACCAGCTGATGGAGTGTAAGGTGAAAAGTCAAAGGGATCATCAACAGTCATAAAGTTTCATCCTCTAGGGGCAATTACTGTCAAAATGCAATGGCTATACTTTCAATGGTTGTTGAATTATTTCAGTCTGGATCAAAGTGGTGAAAAGACTGACTTTGCCATTTCTGGAGCCGCCTGAAAATCCTACAAATGGTAAATGAAATTACAATTTATTGGCAAAGTGAAACATTCATATCTGCAACAGACACATATTGGATATTTTTTTTCTGCTTGAACATTGTACAATAAAATATTTGACTTGTTAGAGTTAGAGCAAAATCTGTCTTAAGCATGGATGCAGTAAACTGCCCCCCCCCCCCCCCAAGAATAATTTGAGACACAATTAATAATTTTTGAACAATGCAGTAGTATTTATTGAAAGCACAATGTAAGCAGTGCTCATTATAATCGCGCAATAATGTGCTATTTAAATCTTAAAAGATTTAGTCCCCCCCTCCCATTCCTAGTAGTGGTATATCCCACACTCTTTCCAACGGGCGGGGCTAGCAGCCGTTAGTACTTGTAGTACTTGGCAGCAGTAGCAGCGTGTGGCTGGACCCAGCTGCCCACATCGCGTATCGCGGGGAAAGATGTACACTCACACAGACACACTTTAACTTACACAAGTTACAACACATCCCATTTACTGTTACAACAAGCCCCAGGCCCAGGCTGATAATATAAACTGTCTGCAACATTTCTCCTGCATTGTTCAAAAGCCTACTCAATTACGAGTGCTGCTAAGCTAAAAGCTAATGATTTAGTCTCGGCACCAGACAATCAGAGATCTCTGCCTTCTGATAGTCTGGGGACACTCCTTTCTAAAGTGTGTTTAACACACCGGCGAAAACGGCCGGCAACAAAGCAACGCCTCTTGCATTTTTGAAAAGGACACGCCTTCTCAGAAATGTGCGCTCCCCCTTTTCTTGTCCGCAAGGAAACAAGCACACAGAGAGCTTGAAAATGGATGCCGAGAGATTTAACTCCGTTTTATCAAACGTGTGCTCATCCGTGAAGAAAATATTTTTTCCAGCGGATGTCTTAGTTACAACATTATTGAGCTAACTGGAGTAGTTTCATGTCGTATCCGACAACGGGAGGCTTTTAACAGATGACGTCCTGATGTTAGCTTTACTGCTGCTGTTAGCTGTCCCTGTCAGCTGCAGCCACTGATGCTTTCTAGACATCGTGATTTCCCAAATACCACACACAGCAACACATGTTTAATGAGTTATTACCTATTACAGACACCGCTAACAGCTAAGAAATAGTAATGTTGTGTTTATAGGCTTTACAAACATCGGATTAGTCTAAACGGTGATACAGTGACGTGAAAAATGTGAGATATATATATATATATATATGTATAGCTAAAAGCTCCGCTGGTTTTCTACCCGGAAGTAGGCCTATTTGTAAACAACAACGTGATTCCCTCTATAGTCCGGCCGGATGGATGAGTCATGGCCTTGTAAAAGATTATGTTTGTTTCTTTTAGTTGGCGAGAATGCGTTGCCGCAAACCCAACAAACATCCACTAACTTTGACGGCGTTTTCTGCGAGCACGGCTGAGCCATTTTGTACCGCTACACATGTTTCTAGTGGGACTATGTTTACAAGCACAAGAGTTCAGCGAGCCACAGAAGGACCGTCCTGCAGATTTACTATTGGTTCTGCAACGTAGGGAGTTTTTTTAAACTCTGAAATTGTATCCGCCCATCTAAACACAAAATCAGGGAGAAAGTCATCAGTCTTTAGTTAAGCAAAGCGTCTAAAGACTGATTTGTGAGTCTGCTAATGATTAAGCTCAGAGTTTAGTGATAGAGAGGACAGGAGAGAAAGAAGAGGGAGAGGACAGGACAAGAGCAGTCAGTGGCGGAGCGGCTCGTAGCTAATGGGTACCTGTCTGTAGGCTCTCCACTTGTCAGTGAGACAAACATGAAAGACGTGCAGTTTAACCGACGAGGAGCGGTCATTACGCGCGACTATTACGCACGGTTGTGAGGTGCACAGCAGCAGATCTCAAAGCACACTCTTTATAAACCAGTTTACCAGTTTAAGCGCAGGAAATGTTTAGTTGTTAAGCCATAAGTTAAAGATTAGACATTCACTCTGCCTGTTGGAGAGATAGAGAGAAAATTAAAGCATCAAATTGCGGTAAAAGATGCTGTATAAAGGACAGGCTACAACTTTTTTTCCTTGTCCCCCCCTGGAATTATTCTCTAAAATTTTACTGTTTATTGTCCCCCCCAACTATGACATGGGATTTTCCCCCCTGCATGGATGGATTACTGAACAGGCCTACCAGGCACAGGCACAGGAGCCCATAGTGTCAGAGTTCCCCCCCCCAGCCTTCACCTGCAAAACGTCAGTCAAATTAACACAACCCTCTCAGGAAGAGATACAAAATTATCTCAAATACCCCACTGTCACCAAATTAACTTTGGTTCTTGAACTGGTATCATTCAGGACTCTCGGAACCTTGGGGATATTTAGTGAACCAGTCTGTGTTTCCACCAGATTTGATTAGAAGCACTGTAATATGTGTAAAGATGTGTGATCAACAGAGGGCACTGCACAGTGCATAACTGAAGTTAATAGTTCTAGCAAGATGGCAGATCGCATTGATTACCTGCAAACCTTTGCTCTGTTGGTTCAAAATTAGGTTAGGGAACGGCACAGAGCCTGTTCCATGCTGGTGGAAAAGGGGTAAGCTGTTTCAGGCCCAAAGACACACAAAATGATTTTTTTTTTTTTTTTAAAGACATAAAACTCACTTGAAAGAGACACAAAACCTCAAAAAATGCATGATCATTATGAAGCCATGCAAAACAACAAAAAATGAAAAGGGAAAAACACCACAAAGTCAGTGTGTCTTGCTTCTGTGAGGGAGAGGTGGTGGGGCCTTTTGCATATCTGTGCCCAGGGGCCCATTCTGTCATAATCCACCCATGATCTTCAGTGCTACTAGAGAAATGTTGCCAAATTGAAAACCATTTTATGCTCCAGAGAAGCTACTTAGGTTTATGGAGGAGCTCCAGGTCAGAAAGAGTCCCAGTCAGCAGGCTGCAGTGGAAAGATAGATCCATGAGTGTATTGTACATTTATATATTCAGGTGTGTAGTCATACTGGAGGAAGTTACATAAGAATCAAATACCCTGTTATAAAGTAGAAGAAGAGAATTGCAGGAATTTTAAACCATATTGTTCAGGGGGGCACACTTTCACAAAACCCTGAGCTATTATTCTCATATGGTTAGTACTTGGCAAAACGCTCCACCACATTTTCAAAACTTTTATTTCATTTTTATTTTTTAATCATAGAGTGGTTGGTATGCTGCAGATTGTAAAGTTTGATTGATAAGGTTCATACTGTCTTCTTATTTAGACACGGGAGGCAGGGTTGGCCTGACAGACTCTGATTGGTCTGTCAGGCCTACCAGCTGATATATGACACGTCAGCAACACGTCGGATGACGCTTCTGAGGAAGACTGGAGTCTCAGTCGAAACTGTCAAGCAGGTAAAACACACCTCCTTACATCTTGTCTGTCTGAATATAAGAAAACCTTAAAATATACATTTGTGATCAGTGATGTGAAGTGGACATCGTAGCATTTTCAAGTTTAAAGAAACATTCAGCCCGTGTATCATTTTCTTGTAAATGTCTTATTTTGTGATGGGGGTTCTATTAGGCTGCTCATTTCCTTACTGATCAGAATCCATCCTATAATACACAGAACAGTCTTTTTCATGGGCTGTGGGTGTTTTGTGTGCAAAACACTTTGATCTGAGAGTCATGTCAACATGCTTTTATTAGGCAAGCATTAACAAAACCACTGAACAAACTTTAGCGTCTGTAAAAATATATATATGTAATTCAATATGGCACACAATTAACATATAAACAACATACAGGGAATGTTGTGAAATAAAGAGCATGCCAATGCAGTCTAAAACTACACTGAGTTATTTTCTAGCACAAGCAAAGTAGAAGATACAGAAAATTATCAATACATAAAGTTTAGAAAAATGGATTATCAAATAAATGATCACTTTGCTAATTGTGACAGCAAAGAAGCCAGCCGGTGTGCACAGAGTGTACGTTTTACAATCCTGTGGTTAATATCAAAGAGGTTACATTACAAAGGCATACAAAGCATTTCACAAATTATATAAATACACAAAGTACACAAGAAGAGGTTAATATAAGTTGTATAAAATATAAATATTAGGTCTGCTCAGTGGACCATAAGATATGTTGCTCTCCTAGTTTTTTGTTGCCACAGCGATGATGAAATATTAACACCGTTTTTGACATCGGATTTCTACATCTCTAACTTCATAACACAATGGAATAAAATTTCAAAGCTGATTCCTGCTCAGTATCTGTGACTAGAGGACAGTTCTTCTATTGTCGAGGCTCATGTCTTATGGCTGGTCCAGCTCTGTTGCATCACTGGTCCAGATCATTGCTGTCACTGCTGCGGGGCCGATAGTGGCGCTGGCAGAACTCTCTGATGCGACCACAAGCCTCCACCATCATCTCCTCCGGCACCGTCACCACAATGCGAAAGAAGTTGGGATACTCAAAGGCCTGGAAGAGGACAGAACATGGATACTCTCAGAACTGAAAGGATCACACGCATTCCTTAAACCTCATTCCAAATGTAAGTGTGTAGATGGACATAGGGACAAAAGGATAAATAGACAAAGGTGTCTTACCGTGGCAGGCAGACAGAAGACAGACTGCTCAGTCACCAGCCGCTCAGTGAATTCCACATCATCCTTAAAATCTGGAAAGTGAGCCATTTCAATCCCCACCTGGAAAAAATGTGCACAAACACACACATTTCCTCTTTTAAGAAAATTATATTCATATTTAAACCTCCTTTAATATAATATAATACTGTAGAATGAGGAATCACATGCATGGGTCAAAAAATATAATTATGCACATACATATATTCCTACATAGCATAAACCACACACACTTTTAGTACTGACCATGAGGTACATGGCTCCTGAGGGCATGACAGGGTTCAGGCCAGGGACGGTGCACAGCTCATTAAAACAAATCTCAGAGTTGGTCTGAGGAAGCAAAACATAAACCATCTAATCAGTCTAATATACATATTATCATGATACATAATACTGGAAGTCCAAATAATATGAATAAAACAGGTAAAAAAACATTTTAAAAAAGACATAGTAGAAGAGAGCTGACAACTCGTTCTCATCCCAACTCGTCAAATATCGCCGCTTTGTCAGTGGACTTCCACATCTACATATGATGTGCTCAGTACCCTCTTTTGTCTATTGTTGAGGTACTAAGACGCCATTTCAATTTACGCTTGTTACACGCATTGTGTCTTCTCAAAATAGACTATTGCTTTTACAGAAAAAAAGTACAATTTTTGCACATTAGATACATAGAGAAAAATAAACTTATACAGAAAAAACATTATGGTTTAGTTCAACATTTACACAGAAAGCGAACAGTGGGCTCCAAGGTGAGAGTCTAGTAAAAGCCCGAGCTTTGATGGACCATCCACCCCCTGGTTTATCTGCCCTATAGGAACTTTCCAGCTCCTTATATTACATTGTTACCGGCCTGACAGGCCTGACACGAGGTGTCTTTTTGCATCGGTTTCTGACACCAAAATCACTATTTGAGGAGTTGGGAATGAGAACGGGCTGGAACTAAAGACATGTAATGATGACTTTTTAACAACTCATTAAGTGGTGGTGGACAAGAAATGTGTAATATTATGTGCTTACAACACAAAAACAATGCTAATGCAAAGTCTTTTAAAAACGGTTGCAGTTTGGTTCAGGGAAAGAAAAATACTTGATTAGGTTTAGAGAACAAAAACATAATTTAGGAAAAGATTTTAGTTTAGCTTAAAATACTTACATACTGCACGTAAGTGATGTAAACTTACATACATTGCACAGTTAGGTAAAATACCTACGTTAAGTACTCTGTGTAATAATGTAAAGTCCATAAATTCATGCAACCACACTGACTTTTGGTTTCACACGGGACACAAACAGCTTTCTCATGGTTCAAAGACCGTGTCCACCAACAACAAAGACTTTCTCACTCTTTTTCTTAATTTATGTGTTCACCCCATCAAGAGCGCCTCATTAACTTCACATCTGTATTGTTTTTGTGTTGCCAGCACATAATATTAACACACACAAGTCCCACTAACATGTGACATGGTAAGAAGACATATTCTATATAGAATGACATAACAAATTATTCCCCTGTTTACCTTCAGGAAGCTGATGGTGTTGTTGTAGAAGCTTTGAGGTGTGTTGTTGAGGATGCTCTCCAGGGCGCCCTGGACGATACTGCAGGCTCCCAGAATACGTTGAGTGAGTTTGACCAGACCCTCTCGGATCTACGGAGGAGACATACTGCATGTGTTAATTAGGTAAATGTAACAGTAATCTACTGGAGTCTTCTTGTTCGCTCACTGCTGAAAGAAGAATGTAGAAATAAAGCCTACATACCTTGGATCCAAATATATTATTCCTGTCATGGATGAGGATCCATCCCAACCTCCAACCAGGGACCAGCCAGCGCTTAGCCAAGCCACCACAGGAAAGGATGGGAACGTCACTGCTGAGAGATGCCATGGAGGGACAACTGCAGCCAGGGAAAACCTGAGGACATATGCAGGTACAAAATGGAATGCGTTAAGACAGCAAAATTTTAGTTTATGCTGCCGTCAAATGGAACTCCTTTTCTCTGTTTTTTATTGTCCTCGAAACCACTATCTCCTCCTCTCTGACATGAGAAAGAAAGTGTCTGCGATAGAAAGTGCTCTAACCTTTTCTATATCTGTGTGATACAGTTCAGCAGAGGAAACAGCTGGACAGAATTGTTTCCCCTGCCTCAGAAATCATCAGCTTATCTTTGATGTGGGTGTCATAAACTGCCAAAGATCTTGATCCTTTGCAGCTTTCTGAGTTGTGTTTAAGGTCAAAAATCACTCTCATGTTATTTCTGTTTTGGTCTCTACCAACTTCTGAGAAACAATATCTGGCTTTTTAGCAACTAAATGCTCCATTATGTTTACCAGCTAGTTGCTTACTTTGTCTGCTGTTTGGTGCTCGGCCTGCTGCAGCTGGAAATGAGATTGTTAAGAGTGGCAAGAGTGAGCCAAATCAGTGATGTTGTTGACTAAACCAATAAACTGAACTGAAATATGCTGAAACAATGCATTAAACTGAGGGGGAATGCAGAGTGAGGCTGTGATTTGTCACAACTAGTAACCGTTTTCACATTACACATAGTCATTAGTCTTACCGCTAATATAAAAGTATTGAAAGCTGGTACAGCACTCTAACAAATAGCATGCCTCGAACTTTTTAAGTATCTTAGCTTCAAAACAAGCATGGTATGCAAATTAGCTGTATTACTTTTGAAAAAATACCCCAAGTACAATAATAATAATAAATTCATTAATCAGAAATATTAAGTATAATTTTATTTTATTATAAAGAATACTTATTTTGTGTTATTTCAATGCAATTATATAACATTTATTGTGGAGATGAGGGAGAAACCAAAGGAAGAATAAGAGGAGAGAGAGGCCATTGGGAAAGGGAGAGTGTACAGTAACCACAGTCAGCAATGCTCCCACAGAAAGCTGGTTCTCATTAAACATTATCAGTGGCGCCCAGCGGGGAACTGCCCCACGTCCTATTGGCCAGACTGCTATGAGTGACATAACAGCATTGCATGAAATGTGCCGGCATAGCTCTCCGCAATTTTGGGTTTGTGTCTGAGCTCAGATCCCCTGCTAACCCTAACCCACATCACTTGATGTGAGAAAACATGGAGCAATTACCAACTACATCGGCATTCACTACTGGTTATTTAGAATTGTATGAATTAAAAGTGTGAAAAAAAGAAAACCGACATGTGTTGTCAGAGCGTAATTCACTGCTGAGGGCCTTGTGCAGGAGCGATCAGGGGGTATAATGCCCCACTGTCTGAACCTAGCTTGGCTGGTGCTGTTAAAAGACACCTTGACCCCTTCCCCCCTAAATACTCAGGCCATAAAGAAAAGGCCTCACAGACACACCCCCAACTTGCTCTCCACCCACCACACGCCCCCATTCCTCTACTGTTCCTGCTGCGCCAAATCCTGACAATCTGCATTAATTGCAAACACATGCTGCCAAAAAAGTGCAAAGTCATTCTGGTCTGCTCGGGTTCAATGTGAAGTGTTCATATGGTGGGGATGCACTCAATAACCTCGACTCTAAATGTTTCCTCTCACGACATATATTAAAAGCATAAATACAAGCCTCCAAAAAGCATTCTTTGTGCGACTGGTGAAAAGGCACATTTCTTTTTTTTGTATCTGCGAGAGAAAGCTTCTTTTCTGGTATCCAGCTGTATTCTCTTCAGCTCTGTGACCTGATCTGTTGTCTTCGCTCTAAAACTGCAACATCCTGCGTGCATTCAGTGCAGATGGCTGACACACAGACTGTTTTCATAAACCTCATACTTTAATAAATGAACAAACCAAACCTCTATTTGTCTATTTGTCCTTTTTAATATCACACCACTAATAATTTCTTCAAGGGTAGCATCAACATTAATGTGATATGCTATATAACACTGACTTGTAAAAGAACAAAGCTGAATAAAGACCAAAAACTGAAACAGGTGATATTCAATGAATCAAAGGCTAAAAGATACTTTTATACACCACCAATGATTTGTATTTATCCCCTTATCTGAATATTTCCTGAGTGGAAAATTACTGGAATACACTCCACTTTTTTTATTGAGCAGCATTCAGTTGTACATGCGTGTGTGTGTGTGTGTGTGTGTGTGTGTGTGTGTGTGTGTGTGTGTGCGCGCAGGAGTCTACGTGTATAGCTGTGTACATGTTTGCATGACCTTCAACTACAATTTGACCGGTACAAACTTTTCAAGGCTGACACTGATGTAAATGCTTTGGACTGAATGTGCCGAGAATGTTGTTTTCTCGCAGTCAACATTCACATTTGGTCATTTGCCTGTTTAAAGGGTGAGCTCGAGCACTATCTGTCTCTTTGATTTCGGCCTCAACCCCAGTGCATTGGAGATGATTCAGATATCATCTAAGGGGCTTACAGCATTGTGTCCAGTGTCAGATAAAGCTGCTTTTAGCCAGCACTGCAAGTTATACAGAGTTAAGATGGATTCAAGCTGCAGAAAAAATTAATTACAGACAGTGGTGTTTCCAGAGATTTTACACAGGGGTGGTCTGATGGGACCACTGACAATTTTGGGGTGGCACACCAACACCAAAAGCCATAACTGCATTTCAGGAATTCTAATATGCTGTTGAAGTACATTTGCTAGTTAAAAGCTATGTCATTATGGAGGGTTTTTTTTTTTTATTTTGCAGTTAATGTTACTAATTATGTGATGTACATCAACTCATACAGACACAGTTAACATTTTGAGTTCCACAACAATCCTGTTTTAATGTGTTATGTATCTGTTTATACATGTGTGATAATTCATTGCTCTTCAGATAGACTGGTTGTCCTTTTCCCATTCCCAACAAGCTATGCCAACATGGTTGGTACCAATGGATGGCTTAGGTCTGGGGTCTTCAATGTTTCTAGGCCAAGAACACCTTAGCTGAAAGAGAAACGGAGCGGGGACCCCCTCCTACACATGCAGTAACTCTGAGGACCCCCTAGGGGTCACGGACCTCCTGTTGAAGACCCATGCCTTAGGTTGCCTTTACTATCTTGCTTAAAATATGAGCACAGCCTCTTAAAGACAGTAATATCAGCCTCCAATTATTTTCGCCTAGGGGAGCCTCTGGGAAGCCCAGCTATTGTGTCGAGAAGGCCATGGGCCCCCCTTTGGGGTGCCACTGATCAGAGAGGAGGTACAGTTGCAAAAAACTCAATAGAAAGATGTGACTGAATGCAAACAGACATGAATTTGCTCTTGACTGCTTGAATCGAGGTTCTGTTAGGACATGACTACATGAGCTGATAATATGTAACCTTAAGTTTGAAAATTGACCTCCACTACAGCTAAATCTAATGTCTGTAATGTCATTAGCCTTTTGGACTGAATAAATGGCAAAAACACGCCAGCAGTCAAACTCCACACAAAAAATCAATCTGAATGTACTCCACTGTTTCTTAGAAAGAAATGCTGCTGCTGTATAGACAGGTTCATTATTATTATTGTGTCACAAGGGCAACAGTTTTGGTTCCTTTTTACTTCATGTCAGCTACCACGTAAATTATACAAGAAGGACAAGACATGGCAGTGTCCAAATTTTGCATCTGTCCAGAGTTTGGTGTCATTTCTATTGGAGTCAATACCCATTATAACTTTGCTGTTTCACCATGCAAAATTTGAACGATGTCACTGACATCATGCCCTTTCCTTCTTCTATAGTTTTCTTTGTCAGCTACTGCATTAACAAATTAGGGATACACTGATCGAACTTTGTCTCTCCGCCTACCAACCCTGATGCCTCAACTAACAATATCTACCTTGAAGAACAAGATAGTAGTGTGCTCGTGGACCGTCTTAATCATAAGATATTCAAGAAAAAACGCTGGTGCTCTAACAATATCTACCATCAAGTGCCATACCTTTGTCAATTCTCTCTTTTCTCCAGATGTAAAATATGTGATTCTCCCCGCATGGAAGTCATCGAGATTTATTTTGTAAAGTAACCTGAGGCCAAGGTTAGCTGTGGACTAAAAATTGAGTTTTTACAATAAAAAGTTGTAATGCCATGTGACAAAGTTCTAATATGTTAAAAAATAAAGTTGGAATATATCAAAGAGAAGTCATGATATTATGAAAGTAAAATACTCAGTTGTAAGTTGCCCTTGCTGACCTCCATGACCCCTGCTCATCCAGCCTACCCGCCTTACTGGTTGCTGCTTCCAGGTCTCATTCACAGCACATGGCCCCTAATCCCCCCTGTGCTGATGTGGGGTTGTCCAACCATCATTCAGAGCCAGGGCAAATACCACCAAATGAAACACAACCTTTTCTCTCACTGTGGTGAAAAATGTGCCTCGCTGGTGTTACAGTGGGCCAAGCCCTGGGTTTGTACTCACCATATCACTGTAGATCTCATCAGCCAGAATGGGAACGCAGTGTCTGGAGGCCACTGAGAAGGACAAGAATTATTTCATTATTTATGTGATAGTCCAAATGTTCGCCTCTGACTTCAACAAATTCAAAGCCTTTGAGTATTTCTAACTGTTTTTCCTAAAGCAGAGCAGGGCAGAACTGCAGCTAACCTTTGAGGATTTTCTGTAAGTGTTCCTTGCTGAAGACAGAGCCACACGGGTTGGATGGATTCGTAACAATCAGACAAGATGTCCTCTCGTCAATCAGGCTCTCCATGTGTTGCAGGTCAGCTTCCCATGACTTCTCTGGCTGCAAATCAAAGATATATGTCAGGGTTAGGGCCATAGACTGTGTATAACAATCGACAATATAACAGTTGGCAGCTTCAATCATCCACTGGTGGCTCGCTGCAGTGTAGGTCATAAACCCCGACCCCTCCATGTTAGCAGACGGGAAATCAAACGAAAAGATCAAAGTTCACATCAAGTAATTTTTTTCCCCAGTTTTTTTCTGTCATTTTACATTGTTCTTATCATGTTCAAGTGTTGGGAAGTTTGTTTTTAATTAGTTATTTAATTTAAAAAAGGGAGTTTGACGTCATGATTGACAGCTATGTGTGCTGATATGCTCATGATCAACGCCGCTGCCCGCGATTGGTCAGACGGGTGTATGGACAGGAATTTGATACAGTGGAGATTGCTACTGCACAGACACTGGCTTCAAATGATCACCAGCGCACAATGGCAGCAGCTGTATCCTGGATATGTTGAGACATGTATAGCTGCAGACACATTCCGTTTGTAGCGTACACAACACACCCTGACAGACCGCACTCATCTCTAGTAGAACACAAGCCCATCAACACAGTAGTATCATACCAAGTTATCTGAAACCTGTTACTACACGATGTTGGAATGAATGAATAGGGCTAAAAGTAGCAATAATCCACATCAATTGACCCTTCACTAAGCCCCGCCCGTTTGTAATGGTCCATCAAGCTGTCGGAGATAGCAGGGAGCCCACAATGTAACAACTGCACTCCCTAAGGAAATACCAAAGTTTTGGGAAAACGAAAAAGCAATTTTAGAGAAAAGCTGACAGAAGAGTCTACAATATGCGCTTAATGGATATATCCAAGATGTCAAAATGACTCAGCAGCAAAAACAGATTGAACAGATACAGATAGTAAGAAGCTAAAGCCAAACTACAGGCTACAGACCACAGTGTAAACATGAACCATCAAATCACTGGTGATCGAGACAGAAGACAATGAATATAGAGGGAAACTTCGCTGGACCTCTGCCGCCAAACCTCCTCCAGTGGACAGGTGGAGAGCTCTGGGGAAAGCCAAACAGCGTTCATCTGCACAAACTGTGATGACTCACAGCTGGTTTGATATCGGCAAATTTTCCCTGTTTCCCTTCACTGGTTCCTGTTAATCAGGTTAGGCCTCTTTTCACTATTATAGACATTAAAAGCAAAAGTAGCATGTGTAAGCTAGCTAGCTAAGGCTACACTTTTCAGGGTTTGTTTTTTGTTTTGAAATGGGGAGGATATGTGTATCACCTTCCAGCCTCTCTGGGTAATGAGTGTCATTAATACACATGTATGGAGCTTTATCCCTGTCTTTATTCAAGAGAGTGATCTACCAGTTTGAGAGCATTATTTATTGCTTTCACGTTCAAAAACCCTGCCCTCGCACTCAAATAGCCTCTGCTTGCACTTGGATCTACTCTGTTTCTGCTCAAACTGTGTGCTCGCACTCAGATACCATGTTGCACGCACTCAGATACCATTTGCTTGCACAGATTTCCTGCTCGAGCTTCGGCTTTTCTCCTCACACTCAAACTGTTTCTGTACACTTGTGGAATTTCTGCTCTCAGATTTCTGCCCTGCGCTTGGATTTTTTTGTGTAACAACCCTGTCAAAATCCCACAACCAATAGAACGCCAGATTTACTGTTGACAGATGAAATGATCCCTGCCTCCTTGTGGACGCGCTAGCCTTAGTTTGAGAGGCCGTTTACACATACACGGTGATTTTGCTAAACAGAGACATCTTCCTTCGTTTGTGCCCTTCGTTTACACGCAAACGGAGATTTCTCCTCTGAAAACGAGTCTTTGTAAAAACTCCGGCCAGAGTAGAGATTTTGGAAAACTCCGGTTGCGCGTTTGCATGTAAACTGAGATAAACGGAGATAAACGGATATAAATGGAGTTATAGGCAGACAACGTCACAGTATGCGCCGGAACTTGCACCTGTGTCAAAAGTGCAACCTATGTTGCTATGGTGACAATGGATACGTGGAAGGCTTGAGCTTCTTGTTACACTGCCACCTACAGGTTTGGCATGCTCTTGTGTATATATACACGGGTAAGTGTAAACAAAGATCTTTTTGAAAACGGAGACAGTGAAATGTCCGTTTATGAAAATAGCCAGCCACGTGTAAAAGGCCTCTTAGAGTGTCCCGGTCGGGCGGGTACTCTTTAACCGGGTTCATCCACTCCCACCCTCCAGGGAAAGCCCTGTAAACTAAATGTTCTTCTCTTGCTTTCTTTACCACTTTTGGAATAAAGGGACTGTTAATTTACACACGTGCGCCATATATATATGATATATTTAAATTTAATACTCTTTTGTCCCAGCTCGTCAAACATCTCTGTTACGTGGGCTTTGGGTTGGCCCAGTGCCGTAGCATAGATATATATATACATAGATGCCACACCCTGGCTTGTGGGATGCGTCAATACCGCCGCCATCTTGCCTAGGTGCTCTGACCGGTTCAAACCCATGTCAGACTCGGCAAAAATGCCACATTTTTGCTCTGCATTTGGGTGTACGAACAAGAGAAGTATTAAAACCAAGCAGAAGGGAATAACATTCCACAGGTAAGAAGTTGTTTTACAATATTTTACTGTTACGAACATGTTTAATGAGATATATATCTCAAAAAGTGATCCTTCTTTTAAGCTAATCAAGTAAAGTAACTGTCCTGATCTGGTCCTAACGCCAAATTAAGCTAACGCTATGTCACACAACTTAAAGAAAAAAGGTTAACATTTATATAATATTACTTATAAAATTATAATGCTTTGTCAAACAGCTATGTCGGTGTATGTGTTATTCCAAATTATCAACTATCTGTTTCATGGCACCAACGTGACATAACGCAGTATAACGTTAGTAGTTAACTTGTGGCCTGAATTGTAACTACAAATTATGTGGAACTGCGTTTTTCTGACACACTTATTTTGTGTGTAGTTTCCCAAAAAACACAGATAGGAGACGGGCATCGGTAGCAGCAGTGAGGAGAAAGGACTTTGTCCCAAGTGACTCCTCAGTCATCTGCAGCTGTCACTTCAGACCTGAGGACTTCGACAGGACTGGGCAGACTCCTAAAAATAATACTAGCTACTGTACACTGTATTTTTTGTAAATATGACCTAATAATGTAAACAGTTCTGTGTCCAGGCTCCCATGAGCACTGTGGTGTTATACATATGAGATTAAAGCAAAATTTTGTGTAAACATGCAGCTCTAAGTCATTTATTTTCACTTGTACAAAACCAACATTTGTTAATCAGAATCTGCACTGCAGCTCGGCACAACCCTGCTGATACACTATTTTTTGCACATTGTGTGAAATGTGAATAAACATTTATAGTCAAAATTAATAATTAAATGACATCATGGTGGGCATTGTACATCTAGTAAGAAAAAAGAATATTTATTACATGGGGAAAGTTTAGTTTAAATGTGTTGTAGAACTATTACTGTTACTTTATCTACATAAGATCAAATATTTTGGTATGAACAACTGCATTTTTTATTTAACCAAGTATCCTGTATCATAACTACATGTCTGACAATTGTAACAAACCAAACCGCATGAAAATCAGTTGAGAATTCAGCGAGTAATGATGATTTTAATCATAAATAATCTCCTGCCTCAATAGACATACATGCATTAGGCAGCGCGGCTCCACCTGGGCAAGATGGCGGCCGCGTTGACGTATCGCTCCAATGAGGAACGCCGTTGAATGCGGCATCTACGTATATATATCTATGTTTGTAGTATCTCATCGCAGTTGGTTTCAGGTAAGCTAACTGGAATAAATTGGCAGATAATAGCTTTGTTCTTTATTCTGTGACCGTTAAAAGAGCTTCCTGGTGAGTGGTGAGGCACGACTGGGTGTAGCACAGGTCCTCCACCAGCTAACGTTATCTGTCGTTAGCTGATAGCTAGTTTAGCTCATGCTAGCTAACAGGCTACAACTGCTACATTTTATTTTCTCTAGCAGACGTTATCTGTTCATCTGGTTATCGTGAGCACTCGTTTTGGGTTAAAGTGGAAGTGCCCGGAGCTGCCACCCGTGGTCCCGGGCAGGGCTCGAGACTTGGGATCTACTCACCTATGGTCCCGCCCGGGCCTGACCTCCGCGGCCTGGACGGGTGCTCAAGTGTGGGTGAGAGGAACGGAGAGGAGCACGGAGATCAAATAGTGAAGTTTAAGGATGCCTTCGGTATGTTGTTAATGTGATTTTATGGGCAATTTATCAGTCGAGGTCTCCTCCTCTGCAAAGCATACTGACCCGGTGGCTACGGGTAATAGCGCAGTTTTGAAACCACTGTTTTTCCGAGATGAAGGACTGATTGTTGAGCTGCTGTTAACCGTTAATGGAGTTAACGCCGGATCACGTTATTTAACCGTTTCAACAATAAATTAAGCAGAGTGACGGACCCAAAGCCTTCAATCTGGCTAAAATACAGCTGAAATGCTAACAAAAAAAAAAAAAAAATACAGTGGTGAAGTTGGGATTTTTTTTTTTGAAGTTATGTGCTCATGTCTTTTCTGTCTCTTGCAGGCTGCCAGGAGAAGCGGACTGGCCATCAGATATTGTTTATGGAAATTTGAAAAATAAAGTTTGTCAAACTGACTTTTGTCTCTTCATTGTGCACACTTACACACAAAATAGGGTGGTCGTAGTTAACGAAGCATATGAATACGTTTGAACGTGGCGTGGTGGTCATTTTCGATTAAAGGCCGACGTCTCAGCGACGTCTTCGCAATGAGCAAACGTTCTCCCTGCTATGTGTTAACGATCTAAACTTGATACATCGGGCCGACATCGGCCAGATGTGCTATCTGGGGTGAGTGCTGATATAGAGTATAACATCACTGGGACTTGTAAGAGTAAAATCACTCCGCTCACAGGTGTTATAAATATAAATACAACCGTTAATTAACCAACTGTCACACTCGCTACATTGACGCAAACTGACACTAGCGTTACCCCAAGAAGATGGATATTTTCCCCAAAATTACATTTGAATTAAATTATGAGTGGTCGTCAGGAGAGGACGAGGAAAAGGAAAGCCAGGACTCTTCTGTGCAGACCTCCAGGTGTGTTTGAATCCGGCCGTGCCAACATCCAAGTTTGCCAATGTTTCATCAGCCGAACTGGACGAAGTTACACAGCTGCAGATCAATGTAAATACAAAGTAACTTTTCAGTTCCTGGTGTGTGTGCTGCGTTGCCTGGCAACAGACTGGGGGAACTGTTTTTTTCGCGGAGCTACATAACATATTTAAATCATTTATGTCATCACCTTTTGTTAACATTTCCTTACTCAGCATTGTTGTTTAAGCTGTTGTTGAACTGTTGTATAAAAGCAATAGCCTATCACATGAGAGGTCGTGACGTTGTACTGTATATCGTCACACGGCTGTAATTGTCTTCGACACTCGGCCTGCGGCCTCATGCCACAGTGCCCATGACCGAATCATAATATCATCATCATAATATACAGTATCACTCCGTCTCGTGAGATATTGCTTAATTCAATAGATATATATAGATATATAGATATATATAGATATATAGACATATATATCCGGCCGGGACGCTCTAAAACTAAGGCCAGCGCGCCCATAAGGAGGCAGGGATCATTTCATTGGTCAACAGTAAATCTGGCATTCTATTGGTTGGGGGGTTTTGACAGGGTTGTTACACAAAAAAATCCAAGCGCAGGGCAGAAATCTGAGAGCAGAAATTCCACGAGCGCACAGAAACAGTTTGAGCGCGAGGAGAAAAGCCGAAGCTCGAGCAGGAAATCTGTGTGAGCAAATGGTATCTGAGTGTGTGCAACACGGTATCTGAGTGCGTGCAACATTGTATCTGAGTGCGAGCACACAGTTTGAGCAGAAACAGAGTAGATCCAAGAACAAGCAGAGACTATTTGAGTGAGAAGGCAGGGTTTTTGAAAGTGAAATCAATAAATAATGCTCTCAAACTGGTAGACCACTCTCTTGAATAAAGATAGGGATAAAGCTCCATACGCATGCCCAGAGCACAATGTTTAGCTCAAAGGACTTAGCGAAGGTCAATTCATTATACATGACTAACATAATCACCTGTCTTTTAATTTATTACTTAATAGTTAACCAAACACTGTCTTCGCATTTTGTCCAGGTCTTCCACTTCCGGACCAAGAAGCAGAGGGAGCTGATCGTAGACTGATGTAAATTATAGTGGGCGAGTTATGCAGCTAGTGGGCGAGTCATATAGCTACTCCAACTGCAGTTATACCTAGGCTACTCACATATGTTGGTCTTTGTGGTCTGGTTAGGGCAGACTCTTTATTGTGCATGATAATACATCCATGTCTTGATGATGCTCGGGGATACTCACTACTGCAAACATGAGAAATATCATAGTGAGGTTACGCTGATGCAGTGTTTGAGAGTGTACCAGGAAGGTGACAGGTATCATGTCCTCAAAAGCCTGTACAAGACTGTACAGCATCTTTCTCGATTGCCACTGGCCAAGTCATTAATACATGATGTGCAGCAACATCCAACGAGAGCCAACAAGAATGTGTATCATTAACAAAACACTGTGTTACGCAGGACGCACGTTTAACGCCAACTTTTAAGGGAGACCCAAGTGGTGGCACCATACTTCTGTGCCTTATTACAGATCACTGAACTGTGCTGTGATTGGCTAGTGCTACATGTTGTGATTGGCTAGTACTTGTCATGTTGATGAATGGAAGGTAGAGGCGATTAGGGTTGGGGCAAAGAGGTCATGGTTAGATCTAGTATTTGCCAATCAGAGCGCAATATGGGCTGGACTTGCCAAGGAATACAATGGGCTCCACAATGCCATGTCTGCGCTTCCAACAGCAGCAAGCTAACCAGTGAGCCTTTTTGATTAAGAAATGACTCCAGCCACTTCTGAAACCACAATAATTGGCTCATATTTTTCATTTCTATTATTAATGAATAAAAAAATATAATTAAGACAACTTTAGAGTTTTTTTAGGGGGATGGAGGATGGATGGGGTTTCCCTTACTTAACATATCACGTCATTTTATATCAATGGCGAACGGTATAACTTATTTCCAAAAATGTTGAACTTTGAATAAAGTTAAAATAGACCAATTGAAAGGTTCAGTAGGTTCAGTTAGTGTTTGTGTTTCAAACAAAAGAGAACAAACAGTATTGTGATGATACACCCTCCTACTTACCAGAAGGTTGTAGAGTTTGACCTCAATGCCCATGGACACAGCCAGAGTCTTATATAAGGAGAAGCCTGGGCATGGGACCAGGATGTTGTCCCCTGGGTTACACAGGACACTGATTGCCAGGTCAATGGCTTGACTGCAGCCACTGGTCAAAATCACATCCTGGAAGAGAGGATGGTGCACTTTACTTTAAAGAGCATAGACACCAAAACCACATATCCATGCTAACAACAACACCTAACAGTTTATAGTCTTTGACTAGAATAAAGTCACTGTAACAAGCAGACTGACTTTCAAGACATGCACTCATATACAGTACAGGCCAAAGTTTGGACACACCTTCTCATTCAATGCGTTTTCTTTATTTTCATGACTATTTACATTGTAGATTCTCACTGAAGGCATCAAAACTATGAATGAACACATGTGGAGTTATGTACTTAACAAAAAAAGGTGAAATAACTGAAAACATGTTTTATATTCTAGTTTCTTCAAAATAGCCACCCTTTGCTCTGATTACTGCTTTGCACACTCTTGGCATTCTCTCCATGAGCTTCAAGAGGTAGTCACCTGAAATGGTTTCCACTTCACAGGTGTGCCTTATCAGGGTTAATTAGTGGAATTTCTTGCTTTATCAATGGGGTTGGGACCATCAGTTGTGTTGTGCAGAAGTCAGGTTAATACACAGCCGACAGCCCTATTGGACAACTGTTAAAATTCATATTATGGCAAGAACCAATCAGCTAACTAAAGAAAAACGAGTGGCCATCATTACTTTAGGAAATGAAGGTCAGTCAGTCCGGAAAATTGCAAAAACTTTAAATGTGTCCCCAAGTGGAGTCGCAAAAACCATCAAGCGCTACAACGAAACTGGCACACATGAGGACCGACCCAGGAAAGGAAGACCAAGAGTCACCTCTGCTTCTGAGGATAAGTTCATCCGAGTCACCAGCCTCAGAAATCGCAAGTTAACAGCAGCTCAGATCAGAGACTAGATGAATGCCACACAGAGTTCTAGCAGCAGACCCATCTCTAGAACAACTGTTAAGAGGAGACTGCGCAAATCAGGCCTTCATGGTCAAATAGCTGCTAGGAAACCACTGCTAAGGAGAGGCAACAAGCAGAAGAGATTTGTTTGGGCCAAGAAACACAAGGAATGGACATTAGACCAGTGGAAATCTGTGCTTTGGTCTGATGAGTCCAAATTTGAGATCTTTGGTTCCAACTGCCGTGTCTTTGTGAGACGCAGAAAAGGTGAACGGATGGATTCCACATGCCTGGTTCCCACTGTGAAGCATGGAGGAGGAGGTGTGATGGTATGGGGGTGTTTTGCTGGTGACACTGTTGGGGATTTATTCAAAATTGAAGGCACACTGAACCAGCATGGCTACCACAGCATCTTGCAGCAACATGCCATCCCATCCGGTTTGCGTTTAGTTGGACGATCATTTATTTTTCAACAGGACAATGACCCCAAACACACCTCCAGGCTGTGTAAGGGCTATTTGACCAAGAAGGAGAGTGATGGAGAGCTGCGGCAGATGACCTGGCCTCCACAGTCACCGGACCTGAACCCAATCGAGATGGTTTGGGGTGAGCTGGACCGCAGAATGAAGGCAAAGGGGCCAACAAGTGCTAAACACCTCTGGGAACTCCTTCAAGACTGTTGGAAAACCATTTCAGGTGACTACCTCTTGAAGCTCATGGAGAGAATGCCAAGAGTGTGCAAAGCAGTAATCAGAGCAAAGGGTGGCTATTTTGAAGAAACTAGAATATAAAACATGTTTTCAGTTATTTCACCTTTTTTTGTTAAGTACATAACTCCACATGTGTTCATTCATAGTTTTGATGCCTTCAGTGAGAATCTACAATGTAAATAGTCATGAAAATAAAGAAAACGCATTGAATGAGAAGGTGTGTCCAAACTTTTGGCCTGTACTGTACATCTGATTATAAGCCTATTAATATTATGAACATAATATCACATGTACAGTGGCTGTAACATCATACTGCTGAAAGTCATTTTCATTCACTCATTATGCCCTTAAGTTCTTGTATACTGTGACTCAGATTTAGAGGTAGCACTGCAGAAGAATTAGGATAAGAAAGCATACATTAAAAACAGAGGTATGAGTTAGTACCTCTGCCTCTACGGGAGCCTCAGGGCAGCTGTAGAAGTTGGCCACTGCCTGTCGGCTCTTCAAATAACCTGCAGGTGGACACAGAGAAAATATTAAGCATGTGCAAACAGAGATACATTGGGTCAACTGATGGTGAATCAAATCATTTAAAGTTTGGTTAGGCAGTTTATTTTGGCATCATTCAGCAAAAATCCTAGGATAAACTTTGAGCATGTTGAAATTCAGTTGGACTGAGCTAAAACTAGACTTCTGCGCCTCATCTTGGCACTTTTTCAAGGATTTAGAAATGTTGGGCAATGACAGGAGACTGTGGCCAATCACAGGTCATTTCAGACAGAAGGTGCTCCTACTGGATGGTTTAAAAATGCAGATACAAGTGCACGTCCCTTCGGTGAAAGCTTGACTGAGCAGTAAAAAATCTTGCAAAAAAAAGTTGCTATTCCAGCACTGGCAACAACTGCCTACACTGCAAAGCAACCCACAAAAGGTGGACGAACTTATCAAAAATAGAATCTAAGAGACAGGCTGACAATAAACAGCTAGCTAACATTAGCTAGAGCTTTGAATCACAATGTGTCCTCTGTCTCACTCCCCACAGCTACAGGCCACCTCGCCGGGAGGAGAGCAGGCAGTAGCTCTGGAGACAGGTACTTTGTCAGTGACCAAAGCACCCCGAATCCAGCCAGTGTAAACCTCAGCTCCGGGGACCTGACATCCCCGACTTCCCGCTGGATCAGAAAACTTTCTGTTGCTGCTGTTACACAGGTTAGACCCAGCACTGCTGCTGGTCCCCAGCCCGCTGTGACACCCAGCTCAGGGGGATTTGCACTGACCAAATTCGCATATACAGCCTCAGACCGAGGTCTGTCTTTAAGCTGCTGCCCACTGTCCTCCCATTCTTGTTTAATTTGTGGACTGATAAACAGAGAGAGAGCTAAGCAAGGAGGAGCTGAGTGAATGCACTGTGAGTAAATCGACAATGAAATAAGGTTAAATAAATCAATGTATGGGCAACACTGGGTTACTGTATAAAGTGCATGAATATGTCCATGATCATCTGGTGGGAGGTGTATAGTGTAGAGGGGGGAGCTGCAGGAGGAGGGTGTAAAAAGTTCTTAGATCTTTTATGTAAGTAGAAGTAGCAAGACCACAGTGTTGAAATACTGTGTTACAAGTAAAAGCCCTACATTCAAAATGTTACTCAAGTAAAAATACAAAAGTATTAGCAACAAAATATACTTGAAGTGCTAAACGTAAAAGTACTCATCATGCAGAATGGCCCATTTCCGAATTCTATATATTACAGGGTTATTAATTGATGCATCAAGGTGTTCGTGACCTAAATGGCACAGCTGGTCAAGATGGAGCTCATTTTAATCCCCATATAAACTGCTGGGCGATTTAATCTGTAATAAATCATCATCATTTATTGGTGGATTGTATTTTGTATTAATAATTTGAATCTTCAAAGTAACTAAAGTTATCAAATAAACGTAAAAGTACAAAAAAGAATAAGTAAAAAAGTGGGAAGTAGTAAAAAGTACAGTAATTCCCTCAGAGATGTAGAGGAGTAGATGCACAAGGTAGCATACAATTAAAATACTCAAGTTACATTCCACCATTGAGTGAGCAGTAAATGATTTTGACATTAGACAATTTCTGGTTAAAAAAATTCATAATGCAAGTTGAAGGTCACAGTGTAGAGTCGCCTAACTGTAAAACATCTCAGCTTTAAGTATCTGCAACTTTGTTTTTAAAACCAACATGAAATTGCATCTGTGCATTCACCAATGTTTACTTTGGATTTAGTTAGGTTAACGCGACTCACCAACGGAAGGAGCGTAGCCGTTGTATTTTTGTGAGTCGATGGCGTCTTTCATGGCCTGCAGCACTTCATTGTCTGTAGGCAGGTTTCCAAACACAGTGGGATCCCCTGGGAACAGATAATAGTAAGCAATCACTCAACAGCAAGAGAATATAAAGATTAACTATTCCATTCATGTTAAAAGTCAGCATTTCTCTACACATGAAAAAAATAGGAGTCATGGGATACCGCATACATACATGTGTAAGAAATGTGGTTTGTTTCCAGTCTTAGAAACTAATTGGAAATCTTTAGTCTTTTTTGATTATAGTCACACATTGTTGGAGTAATCTGACGAGTATTTGTCTGACATCTGTCTTATTGATTGTTGGTTAATTAATAAATTAATAACTACTGATTAAAAACAAAGTGGCATCTCCAGAAGTTTTTAAATCACCAGTTTCATCATGCAGAAACCCTCTCACCTATGGAAAGTGCGATCATGGGTTTCTCTGGGTTCGGAGTCAGCTTCATCCCATCCACAATGGCTCTGATGGGATTGAGTGTTTTGTTGGCCATTTCTGAGGGCTTCACTTCCCATCTCTGCCTGCGGCTCTTGGCCTTGGCTGGATACAAGCTGCCATTCACACTGACGTGATGGATGCCGTTCCCGTGTACTGCCTTCCCATTGACTCCGCTTCCATTCAGGCTTTTGCCATTGACAGCGCTTTTGCCGTGGACTCCATTTCCATTCATCTGAACCACATAAGACTTGTTCTCCATCCTGGAACTGATGAGGATGATGGACAATGAGTGATAGAGCAGTAAAATAAATTTACTCAATACTTCAGTGTAATCTTGAGGTACCGTTTTATGCTACTTTATACTTCCCCAGTACAGTAGTGAAACTTCATTACATGTATTTGACATATATTTACTTTAAACATTAAGGTTAACTTACTTGTGATCAATTTATAAAATATAATGAATTGTTACAGACTGAAATGCCCAACACTGTAAAAAAAATACTCAAACTTAGCTCCCCCTGAAACAGCTACAACCTTGATATGTTCCGACATGCAGTGTTGGGGAGTAACTAGTTACATGTTAATGTTTAAGTTACCTAATCAATACTTAATACAAAATGAATGTAACTGTAATCGCTACCATTACTGAGAAAATATATGTAATTAAATGTCAGTTTCTAATAAAACTTTTGGCGAGTACAAAGGGGTTGAATCTGAATGTATTGTGTTTGTTAAAAAGTTTATATGTACAATAAAACACCAACCAGAAATGTCTTAAGGCAGATCCCCCCCCCCCCCCCCAAGCCCTGCTTAAAATTTAATAACAGCCTATATAATGTAACATTCTGAAAGGAGTCGTCCTGCACAATGAGTACTTATACCTAATACTTGACACATATTAAACATATAAACATTTTGTTGCTTAATACTTCTGAACTGTTATTTAAGTTAAAAAAAAATTAAGAGCATATTTTGCTTATACAGGAGTATTTTATACAGGGTTATTCCTACTTTCATTTCACTTTGGCAATACTCATGTGGAACTGCAAAAATCTGCCTAGAAATTGTGGTTTCACGCATAAAGGAAATACTAAAGTTTATTGTGATCAAAATATGCTAATGATCACATCTGACTGCGCATATTCAAAGATTATAACTAGATGAACATATTCAGCAGACTTTCTTTGTTAATATTGCTGGATTTTCAATTTATTATTATTTAATAATTTATTATTATTTAATTTTTCAGTCATTCAGAATTCAGTCTGTCCATTCATTGAACCGACAGAGAGGAGATGAACGGAGTCGCTCAGGTCTTTGATGAATTTATTAATGCGCAAAACATTAGAACATTAGAAGATCGACTTACAACAGTATATCTTCTAAATCATCAATAAAACAGAAAACGTGCATTTTATTTTAATTCAACTCCATTAACAGTTCATTTGTTTAATATCAGACCGTTAATTGAGATTATGAAATAAAATGAATGAAAGTATATAAAAATCACATTTGTACTTACTTCATTCTTCAACAGGTCTCAGCGAGTGTCTCCAAAAAGCAGCGGTGCAGGTTAATTACTCTCACACAAGATGAACAGTATGGGATGTTTTCCACCGTTATATATCAAGATCCCCGAAAATGGGTGTAGAGCCCTGCCCATATTTCCATTGGTGGAGACTGAGGTTTGTACCATTACACCCCTCTTACATCACTAATCAGAACCATACCACCTCAAACTTTTAGCGGCATCAATTACCGGCCGGAGGAGGAGGGAGGGGAGGCGATGGGACGGGATTACGTAGATGACAGGACACCTCAGTGGCGCCTGCAGGAGTGCGTCATAACGCACTCAAAACAGAGGGCGCAAAGTGCGAGTCAATGGCAATAGAGATGAATCTAAAACCTGTGTGAAACCTGTGATTTCTTTTCCGACTATAACAAGTCAAACTGTCTGCTGAAGAAGACTAACCATAGTCTTTTGCCCCTTTGCTTCTATGGTGCTCCCTGCTCAAACAAGAAGTTACTTATTCATGATGGGTATGACATACTAAGGCTAATACGTGAGTCAACAAAACATGTTGTGATTTCATGAATCAGTGTCTGCTAGATGTGAGACTCTACACGTTCAGGTCACGTTGTGTTAAATCAATATGTCAGACACAAACAGTTTCGACAAAACACACTGATGGTGTTGTTATGCACTGAGAGCATCTTTGAATGTTCTGATGCATTCATCTATAAGGTTAGCTTCAGTGAACTGCTGTTTGCAGTGAGTACAAGCACACTGTGCTGGTAGTGAAGCAATAAAATGGGTCACACTTAAAAAACATCTGTGGAAAACTACTCCTTACATAATAGCATGTCAGTCAGGAGTTTTTTTCTAAACTGGGGCGTTTTCATGCACAGCAGTGGTTTGTTTTACAGTCCCTTTGAGTGAAATAGTGCCAGTGAAGGTAGGTAAGGTCCTCTGAGAGTGATAAAAGATAAAAGTGGTTAAAAAAAATGGAGACATAAAAACTAAAAGGCAGCGTTGCATCAATTATAACAAAGGGTATCTGGTATCTGGTATGTCCTGAACACAACATGAGCAAACTATGAGTGTAAGCTGTTATGGAAGTTGTTTTGGCTGCTTGGCTGACCCTTAAGTTTGACCTCCACTTTCCTCCAAAAACTGCAAAGTCATTGTCTAGTACTCCGTCAAGGGGGGACCTCTCAGTTTCATATATCAGCATGGTGGGAGAGTCAACATGCACTCAGCAGAAAGGGTCAAATCTTCAACTTTAAAACTGTATTACTGGCAATAATATCCAAAGGTGTCACAAATGTATTCATATATTTATCTAATGGATGTAAACCCCATGCCATTTGCAGTCATTGGGAGGTTTAAAAGGTGGTCTTGTGACCAGAGAGTCCCCAGAATGAATCTCCAGACAGGCAGTAAATGTGGCTGAGAGGTTGCATGAGTGACTGTTACTCCACAGAGACCTGCTATTGACGTGCCATTGAGCAAGACACAAAACCACCTTAGTAATGCAGTCACTTAGTGGCCAACAGGACAACTCCCAGTATCAGAATTGCTCATCTTATTGTGAAACCAGATGATCTCAGGACATTATTACACATGGTGGATTAAAACCTTTATATTTATTATTCTCCTTCTATTTTTTCTAAATCAAATTTATTAAATGAATAAACAAAACAAAAAAACTCACATAGTAGACAAATCACCCAATAGCTGGTTATAGTGATATATGGTAGATACACTTCGTTCTCTGTTCCAGAGACTGCATTGCAATAAAATAAATAAATAAATAAATAAACAAATTTAGATTTGTGTATATTACATTTATCAAGCAGGATCATGAGGTTTATCATAAAATTCAGTGAATTAACATTGCTTTGAAATGAAAAAATAACATATTTGAGATTCATTATCAC